TTAAATTTTTGTATAATATCATGAGTCCACGGCGATCAGCACCCCAAGAGCATGAACTAATCGACCTTAGTACTTTCATTGAACGAAAGCATTTTGTTTTTAATCGTATTATATGTTATATGTGCATTCCAATTCAGTGTCCTGTCAAAGATGACCCCCAGGTATCGGACTTTATCTGAATACGAGAGAAGACAGTTGGATATGTATAAGGAAGGTTAGCTGAGTTGACGCCGTTTTGCAAAAAGTATAGCAGCTGTTTTTTGTGGGGAAACGGTGAAACCATGTTCACAGAGCCACTTCTTTACCTTCTTCCCAAGAATTCTATGTTGTCATCTCCTAAACACAGTCACCTATTTACTTAATCACCATCTGTGATTGCCAAAACATTTCTGATTTGTGCTGGTAATTTGAAGAGCAATTGAGTTGTAAACATTTTTCAGGGACTTTTTCAGTAGCCAATCCTCTCATTTTCCTAAGAAATTGACTATGTTTCATATCCCCTATCTCCAATCCACTAATTAATTTGTACAAAGAAAACGGGGAACGTAGTTTTTTACGTTTTTGATGTTATTATCGAGTTACCCACAGTATTAAGATCTAATCAGCTCATTGCTTAAGAAAATTTTCAGGTAAAGGTCCTGTTCCTAATTATTGCGTGACAGTTACCTGTTTCTCTATACCTTTAGACAATCGATATCGGACATCTGTTGACAGTACTATTTTAAGGTGGTATTTTGCATGTCCTGTAAACATACCATTTATTTAATTCCTTGCTGCTAATTAGGAGATCCTCTTTTTTCCCCATTGGGTTATTTTTGCAAGTTTTAAGTTTAATAGAACTAAAATGTAATACAGTAAAACCTGAGATCTTCCTGTATATAATGAATGAGTACATTTCGGTACCAAAGTTGTACTAAAAACATTAAATCTGTCATTAAGAACACAATCAAAACACCTTTCAACGGTTACTACATCTATCGATCTTTTTATTTCATCCTCATTAATTACCATTACATTCATGCAATTCAACTTGGATTAAATGCACGAAAGAAATAATACACTCCATCCAAATATTTTACACAGATGGCATTGAGCTAAATTGATCATGAGAATTTTTTGTGAAAGTAATTCTGTCTTAATGTGTTGTAATGTTAGGCATCCAATTGTAAGTCCCTTTGACTTTGTGAAAAATTCATTTATGGAAAAGTTTAATATATTCTCTTAATATTACATTAGTTTTGGCAAAACCTTTATGACCTTTTTTTGACGAAATAACTGGCATGTTATCAATTTTCCGTTTGTATAAACTTTAAACAAACATATAAGTGCTTAAAGCTGCTGAATTTCACTGCAATATAATTTTTCTCCTTCAGGAACAAAACTCAAAATTGTAGATATATTAAATTGCAATAAAAATATTATCTGATTACATATCTGACGTTATTTCTTTGCTTTATTTTATGTTGTAACTTATGATCGGAATTCAGTTTAGTCGATAAGCATGATAGACAATCGTTAAGCCGACTAACGAACTGAGTCGGACCAAAGTGCCTTAATTGAATGTCAAGTTTATCAGTTCAAATTGACAATAAGTATCGTCATTTATAACGAAAGCTCTAAGCCAACATCAATGATGATGGATCGTAGTAAAAGTTTTAAAGGGGCTTAGTGTAGCAGCAATATAAACATCTCTAAAAAAAAAAAAAAAAAGGTTTACAACTGTTCAAATATTGACGAGGTTGAACGGTCAAGATTGTGACGAGTGGCCAGGGTGGTGTAATATAAATCACTTTGTGTAGCCCAAAGGTTCATAAAACGGTACCCTTACTGGTCCCTCAGAGGCGAATTCCGAACACTTTTGTGTAAATAGGGCTCAGCAGAATACGAAATCCTGAAAAGGTGGGGACTACGATTCTAGAGTTAGAACCGAGTGAGGAAAACGCTTAATGAGAAACAGAAGAGAAGCTAAGACAAATTCACCAAAATGAAATAGAATTCGGCCTTTGTTAATATTACATTGTTGTACAAAAATTACTATTTTACACATTAAACATTTGTACACACATTTTACATAAAAACATTTTGTTAACAATGTGTGGTGATTAGTGACCGTTAGTCGATGATTATTCAGAAATCGTGAGATGCGGTCTGGTGTGATGTAGGTTTCAGAAAAACATTTTCTTTATCGTTTCGATCTTTATTGTGATCATCTTCAGGGCCTGGGATTTACAAACATTGTTTAAATTTAACAAATACATGTAGGATGTGGACAAAAAGGTGAATTTATACAATGTGACGCCTTATACAAAAATGTCTTTTCTATACCAACTTCCTTCCCCCACCCCTTCAAAATCCAACGTATATAAACATAAATATCCCACTGGCACTCTCAACACGACACGCAAGAATGGCACAACTACACAGAAAATAAACACTTTGAGTGAGATTTTCTTTGGTGATTGATCAGCCTTCTCAGTTTAAATATACTTTTTTTTCCAAAAGGTAGATCGGGGATGAGGCCAGGAAGACAGAAACAACATTTATTTTCTTGTCGAGCTGGTTTTACCGGCTATCCTTTATCCACACATGTACCTGTTCATATAGTATAACGATTTTTTTCGAAGTCCTGATGAAGGCGATATATTCTACCGAAAGCTCGACAAGAAAATAAATGTTGTTTCTGTCTTCCTGGCCTCATCCCCGATCTACCTTTTGAAAAGAAAAAAGTATTCTTTGAATGAGTAGAAATACTTTGATTGAATATAAAAAATATATTTTGAATTGTATAAATTCACCTTTTTTCCTCATCCTACATGTATTTGTTAAATTTAAACAATGTTTGTAAATCCCAGGCCCTGAAGATGATTTCAATAAAGATCGAAACGTTGGCACGATAAAGAAAATGTTTTTCTTAAACCTACGTCACACCGGACCGCATCTCACGATTTCTGAATAATTATTTTGTTAACAATTAAATTTTAAAAATGTCTTTTACTATTGATAAAAAAAAAACATTGACAAAAAATCAACGAAAATAAACCACCCTAAAAGTATCATAATAGGAGCGCACTCATCACTGTGGGGGTCCCTGGTTCAAATTCCCAGATCCATTCTAACCCATTTTTTTTCTCTTTTTTTTAACACCGGAACCCCGGATATTCCTCTGCTGTGCAAAAACCCTCCTTAAAAAATTAATTAATTAATTAAATTTAATAAAAATAATAACAAATTTTAAAAATTTAAACATTTCAGAAGTATATAACGACCTACAATAAACCAAAACAATTATGTGATTGATAGCAAATGACTGTTAAATTTAATTAACTGTCTTTAAGACGCATTAAAAAAATAAGTGTAAAAGTTAAAAAAACGGACAGTCGATACTTGTAGTTTGTTTAAAAGTATATGTATGTTTTTTTAACGTTATAATAATTACAACATAATTACTTCAATGTAAACCAAATTAATCAAGATCAGAAATTGATGAGTTTTAATGAAAATTATTTAATTATATGGTTTGAAAGAAAATTTACCAAAACACCAGAAAACCATTTAGGGTTAGAATATAAAACCAGATAATGAATCGTTAGTAATCTATTACTAAATGATTTTCTGGTGTTTTGGTGAATTTTCTTTCAAACCATCTTTATTAAATATTTTTCAATAAAACTCATAAATTTCTGATCCGTTAACTCGGTTTACATTAAAATAAGTATGTTGTAATTGATATATATATTCCCTAATGTTTATTGCATAACACTAATAAATTATTTATAACGCACTATTTAAAATCGAACATTTAAACTTTAACATTGTAAAGAATTTTTATTAGTTATTTTAACTGTTTATTTTAATTTTTAATGCAAAGAAGGTTGAGAAGAAAATTAATGTCATGAATGGGACTCGAACTCACGACCTCCAGTTCCAGTGCTCTACCACTTGAGCTATCGTGACACTAATTTTTCTTCTCAACCTTCTTTGCACAAAAATTAAATTTGTAAAGAATGTCTGGTTTATCATTGCAAGTTTATACATTTCTTTGAAATTTATCGTCGCTGTTGTTCATTAAATGTATAAGTTTACAAAAATCAAATGTATAAGTTTGGAACAAAATAAAACTCTATAGGCAAGGTGTGTTTATTGTGCCATTAATAAAAAATTAAACTAATAAAATAACTAAATATAATATTAATTTCTGAATTATAGTGGAATAAAGCAATAAAAATAATTAATTATATATTTTGGACAATTTGGTCTTCTTTTATTAATTACACAATTTTTATTCAATTTTTATTAAACAAATATAATTAAATGTTTAGTTAAACAGATTGATGTTGTGTTTTAATGCTGTTAACTCTTAAAACTTACTTATGTTTTTGTGAATTTCATCAAATAAGTTTTCAATTTAACTGATTCATTTAATAAGTCCTCTTTAAGGAAACAAATGTTACCTAAATACTAAATATGTATAAATTTACTATGTACACAATAATTATATAAAATCAAATAGACAATATTTTTTTGCTAAATTTTGCACAGAAAAAAATCATAAATACAAAAAAAGTTGTAAATATTGTCATGTCCATGATGTTTACTAGGAGAACAATGCTTGCAAATTTTGATACCCAAGTACATACAATATCACCAATAAATAACTCCATAATTTTATTCAATTTAAAATTAAAATTGTTATTTCTAAGTGTTAAGTTTCCCAGTGATTTATTACTGCTTATAAAGTTGTTTTTGTTTTGTTTTTTCAAAATCTTACTCATTTTTAATTAAATTAATTATTTCTATACAATTTCTTAATAACAAACTGCTACATATATTTCTATTTGATGCTTTTTCCTTTCTTCTATTTACTTATTTATTTTCATATTTTCCTTAATTATTGACTTATGTTAAATATTTTGCTTCCTGAATTTATTATGATTTGTAGTTAGTTATGTCATAAAAAATTAATGATTATACCAATAATATACTTGTAAATTCATTTCCAGCCAAACTAGACGGAGTGAAAACCTATATGCGGATGCGCAGGGTCCCCAACCACTTGCAGGTGAAGGTGATCAAATGGTTTGACTACCTCTGGTTGACGCAAAAATGCTCAGACGAGGAGAAAGCGGTCAGCTGCCTACCTGGTCAGTCCATATCTGGAATAGATAATTCATCAAAATGACGTTAATTATTATTTTCCGCAGATAAACTCAAAGCTGAAATTGCGATCAATGTCCATCTTGACACACTGAAAAGGGTGGAGATTTTCCAAAATACAGAGGCAGGATTTTTGTGTGAACTTGTCCTAAGGTTGCGTCCTGTCCTTTTTTCTCCTGGAGACTATATCTGCCGAAAAGGTGATTTTTAAATGTGATTGAAAACTTCTATTTAAAAATTATTTCATCCTCCTTCAATGATTTCTGCCGTCATCGACCGCTTTCAGAAAGAAACCTTTTCCTCTTTTTTCAGGCGAAGTGGGTAAAGAAATGTACATAGTGAATAGAGGAAGGCTGCAGGTTGTTGCTGACAACGGCAGAACTGTCTTAGCAACGCTTAAAGCAGGTTCTTATTTTGGTGAAATTAGTATACTCAACATGGGAACTGCAGGTAAAAACTTGGGTAAATATCAGCGCAGCAGGCATTTATTTATATGTTCGTTACTCTCTTATTTGCAATCTCTTCCATTTTAAGCCATATTTCATTTTTGTTTTTATTTACTTTTTTTCAGTTTTGCTACTCTTTGCAACTTAATTGTTTATCATATCATTTTTGCGACACCATTCAATGCTTAAAAACCTTGCGGCATAGAAAATCATCCTTCCGCTTATTTGCTATTACAATTTTTGCATTTTTATGCTGTGAACTTTTCCATTACAATACACGACTTATTCCAAAATGTATTCTATCTGTACTAAGCAATTTCATATTTTAAATAAATATGCATCTATTTAAGCAGAGTGCATAGAGAAAATAATTCATAATAATTAATATACAATACTTTTTTAAAACAATATTTGATTTTATGATAAAATGTGAGATAGCTTTTTTAAATTATATTAATATATAATATATATAAACAATGTTTATTTTATGATATTAAATTACTTTTAAAACATATTTAAAAACTTGTATTTGGTTTTTAACTAATGTATGCATTTATTTAAAACAAAAACAAAAAATTACCAAGTTTTGCATTAATCAATTCAGATAATTTTCATGCAATTTAATTAACTAAAACATAAACTTTTCCATATATTACAACAATCAAAAAATAAAATTTGATACTAAACCAATAAAAAGCCAGTCTTTTGTACTCTTTAATGTTCTTTTTTGTGCATGCCAATACATATTTTCAAATGAAATAGCATGTTTTCAGCTAAACCGTGACTTCGTTTTCTATTTTTTTGAACCTCTTTTGCAATGGAAGACTAACCGTTCTTAAAAACAACCCCGTAGGAAATCGGAGAACAGCATCTGTACGGTCTGTAGGCTACAGCGATTTGTTTGTCCTTTCAAAAAAGGACATGTGGGACGTCCTGAAAGAGTATCCTGCAGCGAGAGTCAGACTGGAGGCCATCGCAGTCAAGAGGCTGGAGAAGTACAAAAAGGCTCCTCTTCAGAAAGGTAATTGTTTTAAATGGTATTTCAATTATTAAAAATGTCATAAAATTACTGTGCCTGCAGCCGCGATGGGAAGGAGTCAGTCCACACCCGGTCTAGTGGAAACAAAAGGAAGGGTACCTTTAGAGACTATGTGGATTTCCCCATTAGACCCAATTAGGGGTACATCAAGCCTCGGGCCTCCTTACTCAAACAACTCAATTTTCAGCCCAACATTAAGTCCTGTTTCAAGGTAAACAGCCAATGAAAATTAATAAAATAATTATTAAACGGGAAACTTGTGGAGTCTGAAATTAATTCAAATCTGGATTCAAACAGGAGTTTGGTGAGGACGACTGAATCAGCGCTTTCAGTAATGTCCAGTGGGCATTCATCTGACGAGCAAAGGATTGCGACTGTAAAACCTAATGGTAAGTCGTCACAACAAAGAGAAAACAATATTTTCAATTAAACATTGCTTCATTTAACTTGACTTGAAAGATAAAAGTTCAATTGAATATTTTACCCCCTCCCCCCCCCAAAAAAAATATATAATTAGAATATTTTTAAAATACTACAGTTATAATAATTACTACACAGAATGAAGCAAAATAAAAATTTTGCTCTGCAGATTGACAGATAGACTTTCTTCAGGTATACTAAAAGTACATCTCATAATCTTTACTGACAGTAGGATCTAGTAATAATTTAAAATACTTAAAGCCTACTAAAAGAGTGCATAACATTACTAAAAGCACACAAAAGTTTCTCTTGTACAGAAAATGCTTATAGAAATGAGGAAAACACATAATATTAACCCAAACCTCTAACTGCTTGAAATGAAAGTTAACGAACAGCAAAATAAACAAGAACGAAAGCTCTTGAAAGTTTTTAAACATCATTCAAGGAAAAATGTTTAAAATTTAAATTTTCGGAGCTTATTACTTTCAAAGTTTTCAAAAGAAAATGTAATTCAAAAAAGTTGTGCCGTACTGCCTGCACAAAGGTTTTGGTTGAAGCACTGATATGAAAATACTCCAACATGTGCGATTTCCACAATGTATCATTTCTCAATGCAATAAAGCTTAAAAGAATTGAAGAAAATCAACAAATCCATAAAATATCCAGATAAACTTAACTGAAACATTGAAACATTTGTTGGGTGGTCTATGAGTTGTTGAACATTATCAGCTGTTCGATCATGCCTGATTGTCCTGGTCTGCGAATTCTTACTGCTTAATCGGATATTTCTTTATTTTTTCAGTGAAGAAGAATATCAACCTATTTAAACCATTTTACTTTTTAAAAATAACTTTGAAACAGAAGATTTAATATTATGTAGTAACAACAGTTATGACATGGCAAAAATTGAGAACAGATTTTACTTTCATATTTAAAACAGTAGAATCCAACCGCCTAAAACAGCAGAATCCAACCAGCTAAAACCAACTACCTACAACCACTGCTGACTTGAATGACAAACTAAATTCAATACTAATTAGGACTAAAATGCAAACATTATTTATTTAAGAAAAAAACCATATTAAATTGTATATGATCTCAAAAGTAATTGATTCTTTGATTTGAATTTCACCATAACCATCAAAAAGGACAAACATAAGAGACAACCCACAGACTTCGACTAAAGTTTACATTAAAAACCAAAATCAACAATAAGAATGTACTAAATAGAATGATCAAGAATGTACAAACTGCTTGGGAAATATTTACAATAATGTGTACATTTTGTATACAATTTTTTTTCCAAGTATGATAGAACAAATCTAAGTTAAAATGAATCTCATATTTGTTAAACCAGTGTTTAATTTTTTTCACTAGGTTTCGTTTGTTTTTTACAGAACAACTACCACCCCCTCAGCCACCTCCTACACAGGAAAATGAGCAAGAGGCACTGTTCGTTGCTGAAATCAAGCGACTTCGAGAGCGACTGGTCACCTTAGAAGCTGAAAATGCCACACTCAGCATGAAACTGAATCAACAGCAGTGGGAAGTGGAGCACAGGCTGGCTGAGATAGAAATGCAGATTTGTGGTGCCTCGAGTGCTGACAGTTCGGCCGAGGATAATGAAAGGAATAAAGAAAGCATCATTTAACACAATTGTCATCCAGGATATAACAGAACAATAAAAGTGACGGCATAATGTAAACCTAGTCCATATAAAAATGCAAATGAACTTTCAACATAAATGGAAACTGTATTATATTGACACAATTGACTTTATATGGATGCAGTGTAATTTTTTTGACTGTTTCTATGATGAAGCAAACACATTTTCATTGACTTGTTACAATACTAGTAATGCTTTGTAATGTAATATTAAAAATTCATAAGGAAACTCATCGAAATTCAAGTAAAATTCTAACCAGAAGTTGATTTCCAGAAAGTATCACTCATAAAAATATCCAATGTTAAAATAAGCTTTAGAAACTAAAGTAGTAATAGATGTGAAAATATTAGACATTTCCGATAACATTTTGCTTCTCTCACAATTATTTTAATCATTGCATCATTTAATTTCATTCCTTTTTTTTCTCTATGTCTAAATCTTAATAGTCTCTCCCTTTTGTCTCCTACCCTTTTCCCATCCACACCTTTCCTCGTTATAATCACTCTATCTCTTTTTCTCGCTATCTCTATCTAACTATTGATCTATCTATCTATTCCTATCTTTTTGACTTTCCTCTTTTAAATAAATAAACGAATTATTATGACTGTATGAAAGAAAATATGTCGACGAGATAATTTTAAAAACAAAACAAACAAATGAATTTAAAAAAAAAAAGAGTTGTCAGCTTATGATGATGTATATAAGTATATATATTTGAAACAAAAGGGACCATCTGCACATTGAATTTTCCAGTAATGTTACATTTTAAATTTTTCTTTTGTTAAGAAATTATTGTAGAAACAAATTCAGTTGACGCAAACAAAATTGGAGGTCCTACAATTTTAAAGCTTTGCGTTGTCCTCTGCCAACTATTAGTGCCAAACACTTTTCAGATGTTTGAATCATTAATTATTACCACTATTATTATTTTTATTATTATTATTAACTAAACAAATTTTTAAATATTATATAAATAGGTTTAGATAATTCTGAATAAACAATTCTAATTTGACAAGTATTACAATTGAATAAAGTTTATTATTCAAATATGATGAATACCATATAAATAAATAGTTCATGGATGAGTTCGATTGGCACAAACCTTTTGAATTTAAATGCTAATTTTGACTTTAACATAAGCGACCAAACCTTTTATAAAGTGGAATTTTTTTAGAATTTTCATTATCCACACTAGTTAAAAAGTTAAGAAATAGAAATTGAGGATTTCAACTAAATAAATGTATATGAACAAAAACAATAATTAGGATATTGTAGAATATTTTAATAAAATTGGATATCGCGGTTTAGTAAGGCTTGGATAATGTTTATCAATGTCAGTCGGACACATTAGCGATTTTAAAGATAATTTCATTAATATGAAAAATGGCCTATTAGTGTTTTAAAAAAAAAAGTGTAATGCTTCACAATATGATAACAGCAATGGTTTGGAAATGTTGATGTCATATGTAAATATGTATATATCAAAAGTCAATTTGTTATGTAAAATCCGTAAAATGAGAGATACCAGGGAGAATCATCGTCGGTTGAACCTACTTTATTAGTATTGTATATAATTACTTTTTAAAACAAACTGTACTCTTGTTTAGTTGATATAAATGTTTTATTATTTTTTATTATATTGTCTTGAAGAATGGTTATCGCTTGATAGAAAGTAATTGTTAATTTTTTAAATATGTTTAAAACTGTTAACTACTATGAGTAAATTAGTGGTACAATTTATGATACATATAACATTTGTTACTGCACGCAGTCCAGCATTTAAACGAGTAGAGAAAAATATTAGACATGTTTAGATTACACAGCTTTTTATTCTAAAAATTATACATCTTTATAAAAATTTGTTTATCTTTTGATTGTAACATTCAAAATTAGTTTAAAGAGTTGTTCAGTTATTTGCGTTTTTTTATAATTTTACTATATTTGGTTATATATTGCTATTAATCCTGAATATCAATTTTAAAATTTCAAAAATTTTAATTTACACAATAATTTAATGAAGTTAAAGTAAAGGTTTATTTGTTTTTTTAATAATTACTTTATTACAGAAACTGTAGATGCATAATGTTGTTTTAGTATGATTTGTCATTTCATTTAATAAATGATTCTGCTCTTCCTTTTAAATAACAAAAGACTTAAGTCTGATAAACAAAAAATATTGAAATTTAACATGGAAAAGTCAGAAAAAGTCTGAGACCTATTGTGTAAAACTAGCTTCTCTTGAAATGTTGACTATTTCAAACAGCACACCAACTTTACAATAAATTTTTAGCTGCAGCCTTGTTGGGACCAATATTGTTTGAACTAGATTTCAAATATGCTTTTTGTTCGCTTTTTTTTTTTTTTTTTTTTTTTTGAACTGGATACAAAACCAAAAAATCGAATCGATTATGGAAAATGAAAACTATAAATATGAACGTGTGTTACATTTAGCAAAATTTGAAAATTTATATTTTCAATCAGCTTTTATGTGGTTTCATCATTAAAAAAATTAAACTTAAATATCTACAAAATATTACATCGCATTAGCAGTGTGTTTGTTAAAATAAACTAACATCATTAATTTTACACAGGTTTTGCTGGCTAAAGTTGTCTTTATTTTTAAGATTTTGCAATTCCTTCCAGCAAGAATGTTTTAAAGTTTATAAAATGTGTATAGATTACCACAAATTTATTCAAAGGCAAGGGTGATATCATTATACTATTGACTGTTGTATTTGGATTAAGAAAGTTTTTTAAGTAAGGTTAAGTGTTAATTCTAAAATGACGATGCTTTTCTTTTTTCTTTCTTTATTATTTTTTGCACAATTATAATGTAGAATCCAAGTCATTAGATTACACACATCTCTAAACGTTCCTGATGAAACCAATGAACACTAGAATTTTTCAGGGTGTCCAGCACATTGAAATTGTGCACATTTTAAAGAGAAATAAGAAAATGTAGAAAGTCCTAGGATTTGATATTTGAATATAAATGCTTTAAAAATACAATTACATGTAAATAGAGAAATAATTTACTTTATAATAAAATTAATAAGAAATCTATTAAAAGGTATCGATGTATTTCTCACAAATATTTATTTTTATAACCATATAGTTTAAAATAATAAGGAAAAAAGATTTTAGTAAATAGTCTAATTAGATTTCTTCAAATCCTAGGGCTATTTATATTTTCAAAAAAAAATCGTGAAATAATCTAAATTTTATTAAAGAAAAAAACCTCAGTTGGTACATTTATTAAATGATGAGTTTTAATGATTTACATTTAATAATAAATGTTGAATTTTTGTTTTTGTGCAATTGCAAAACCCATTGAGAAATCATAATATATGTTAATGGTAAATCATATATTTGTTGGTGCCAAGAAAATATAAATGTTTGTTTTTTCTAATCAGTTAAATATGATTTCACAACCTTTAATTATCTCATAAATAAATTTTTTTAAACAATGATTAAATTTTTTTATAAAACTACCTCTAAAATTAAATTAACTAAAATTATTGGAATAATTGTGATGAGAAAACTAAACAGAAAAACACTTATTTCTCTTATGTCAACATATTTATGTACAATAGCCATTGAGATGTAAGACTCATACAATGTCTGTTTGATATAGAACAAACAATTTACTATTATTTACGAATAATAATAATTTAATATTGATAAATTATTTTACTACGTCCTCCTCCTAAATGTAAGATTCTACACAAAAAAGTCATTTGAGAGAGTGTTTAAAATTAATAATTTAAACTATATCAAGCAAACATATATTTTAAATTATAACGAGGCTAAATATAAAATATCCTTTTAAAAAAATCTAAAAGAAGTGTAAACACAAACAAAAGACTTATAACTGTATAGATCTAACTAAAGAAAAATAGTAAACAATTTCCTTTAAAAAATGTACTCAATCAAATCCTACAATCCAATAGTTTTCAAATGATAATCTCGTTAAATAATAAAAACGGTGAAAAATTGAGTTACTCTCAGTAGGTAGTATTATCGCCGTTTTTAAAGAATAATATTATAATAATTTATTTTTTAAATAAAAATGACTTACTAAATAGTTTTACCTATTAAATTCTCAAAATGTTGCATTAATTTTCATAAAATGAATGTTTTTGATTAATTTATGCTTTATGATCGTGAGGCTGGAAATAAGTCATCTCGTCATTGGCAATAATAGAAAAATAAAAATAACTCATAATAATTTTATTTTTAGAAGAATTTCAGCCGATTTTTTTGCCGTATTGAAATTGAAACGGGCAATTACGATCAACGTGCGTAAAATGCCGGCGAAACCATTCCAAGAACTAGACGCGTAAAATTTTCTTTTACGGACAAAAATATTGATTATATTAAATGGCTAATCGCAAATAATGTAACGTCAGCTGGTGAATTCGCATTTTCCGCTTTCTCAAAACTCATCAGAAAAATTTTACGACACTCGGGATGCGAATTGGGATTGAGACCAGATTTTCCAACGGGTGAGAAGGGACGGACAAAATTTTCACGGGAGGATCCATACGTAGATTTGGATATCCTACGCTCGAGTTTCAGAGATCGGCGCAAATCATACAATGAGAGTACCCCTGGACGGATAAATTTAACTTAAATGATCACAGCGGATCCAAACTTTCTCAGCCTGCAGAAATCCGGTAGATCTTACAAAAACGGAGACGAGGGCGACCAGACAGGTATGTGCCGACGACTTTCAACGCTCAATTCTTTCCAAACGCAATCCCACCATCGCTCAAATTATCTCTCTCCTCAAATGTAAACTTTGATTCTAAATTTTCAGATCCGCAAATACGAAACGATTGTAACAATGTTAATAAAAGCTGGCCACAAATCAAACAAGGTACAAGTGAAATTTACAACATAAGTCTTACATATTTTAAGATAAGAAAAACAGACATAAGAAAAAACAGGAACCGTCAACTAAATTAATTATAACCACTCTAAGATAGATATTTTATACCAACTAAACACACCTTTTTTAAGTCTACGTGGGAGATGAAAGGTGTGTGCTAACTGTAAAAAGAAAAGTGACCGTTAAGTCGATGATTATTCGGAAATCGTGATATACGGTCTGGTGTGATGTAGGTTTCAGAAAAATATTTTCTTTATCGTGCCAACGTTTCGATCTTTATTGAGATCATCTTCAGGGCCTGGAATTTACAAACATTGTTTAAATTTAACAAATACATGTAGGGTGTGGACAATAGTGAATTTATACAATGCAAAAAAATATTTTTTATATTCTATTGACGTTCTTTGATTCTATTTCTATTCTACGCATTGATTGAATATAAAAATTTTTTTTTTTGCATTATATAAATTCACTTTTTTCCACATCCTACATGTATTTGTTAAATTTAAACAATGTTTGTAAATCCCAGGCCCTGAAGATGATCTCAATAAAGATCGAAACGTTGGCACGATAAAGAAAATGTTTTTTCTGAAACCTACGTCACACCAGACCGCATCTCACGATTTCCGAATAATCATGTAAAAAGAGAATTTTGATGAACTTGAGCCCCCGTTGTACCGGTGTTTTTCCATCGAAGAAACTCATTTTTGAAGGGGGTTGGGACCAAATTCAGGGTCGCTGAGATCCGATCCCGCCCCTTCCATTGATGAGTGCCGTGTCAATTTCTTTCAATTGCGGCCACCGGTCCCCTTAGGCGTCAGAAAAAGTCCAGAGGCGACGGTGGGGATCGAACCCACGACCGCGGGATCTAATAGCCGAGAGTCTGACGCCTTAACCACTCGGCTACCGCGGCCCCCAAGCCGATGTTAGACGTAGGTAGTCTCGTGGTGGGCGAATATTCAATTTCCTTCGGCCTGGTAAAAATAAAACAATCCATAACGGAATTAATTTCATAAGTTGTTTATGAATTAAAAAAAACAAAATTGTTCAAAAAGAACACAAAACTATATATTTTAGATCTCACTTGTTTTCTATCTTGTCTTAGGAATATATCACATTGAATACTGTTTTTCTTTATATCTTTTATAATTGATAAATTTATAATAAAAAAAAAATTTAGACTTTCAACATGGAACGCGGTGGTCAAGCGTCTGACACGGGTTTGCCAAAAAATGTTTTTTCTGAAACTTACATCACACCAGACCGCATCTCACAATTTCTGAATAAATATTTAAAAATTCAATGCACTAAGAAAACTGAAAATACAATGTAAAATTATTTGCCTTTAGTTATTTATTACGTCCGTCACCTTGGGTTATATCAAGACTCAAAAACCTGGAACCAACATACATGATTAAAACGGCAGGCGTTAAACAAAATTTTCGGACTTCCCTACAGACGAATGTCACCCAAATTTACATATCAACTAAAAACTGAAAATCGACAAGACAATAGTAAAACCGTACCGACTAGAATTGTTCGGGACCAAAACAGTCCTTCCAATCCAAAGTCATCAGAATCATAGTCAATTCTCTTTACTACTTCTCTGACAATGACATTGTAATAAATATATTAAATATAAAAAAAAAATATTTATTAGAGATAACTTTCTTCCTCTTTAACCTGACGCATGGATTCGTAAATCGGTTCGTGAATTATAGTTTCTAATGTGATTTTGTCCGATTAAGTTCTAGAGAAAATAATATCCGACGCGTCTTTGAAACATGAAGAATCAGTACGCCAAAACGGGGATGCGGCAAAGTCAACCGAACAGAAGAAATGCGTTTCGCCCACGGCACAGGGATCGCCTCCGAAAGTCCACGAGGACTTGTTTTTCGAGAATGAGGTCTTCCGGGAATTGACCCTCGGCTACGTCCGCGTTCGGGAGCTCCAGCGGGACATCGAACGTGCCAAGAAAATCCTAACAAAAATGGTCTTAGGTAATACAATAATAACTTGACCCCTTAAGCTATGTTAAAAGAAATTGTAAGGACTTGTAATTTTCAGCCAAGACCAGCGACGAGAAGAAGGTGGTCATCGAAGACCTCAAGGAAAAAGTGAAGCTCCTCTTTCACGATCGGGCTCAGATGGCGTTGTCGCACGCTAGGTGGAGGATGATGAAGCACGAGCAGAAGATTCGGGGCTGTGGGAAGCTAGTACGTTTAAAAAGTAGAGCTGATGTCATTGAACGCAAACATTTCCAGCTGAAGAAACAGCTCCTCGGCCTGCAGGCGCTCGAGGTGCCCAAGAAAAACAGCAGTTTCTTTGCGAGGCTGTTTACTTCTTGTTGTCGTAATAAATAAAATCGCTAAAAGTACCTATTTAGAAAAAAAGAATTATTCTAATATAAATATTATAATAGTGTAATTATAGCATTATTTATAGAGTAACAGTGGAGCACCTTTTCAATTGTAGAAGGCTCGACGTTTATAGGCAATAATTTGGNGCCGAACCCACTCCATTCGCGCTAATAACTTACTTTTGCTCCCCAGACATCACACACTCACCCCAGAGTACTCGATATTCCTATATATATATATATAGCATTATTTAAAAAAACTCAAAATTACTTATTTGGTGGCATCCTGAAAAATCCTTGTTAGCGTCTTCTCAGTTACATTTACTGCATTAAGCTTTGCCTTCCAGTAGAAACTGTTTCGTTGTCAGGCATTCACAGTAGCATATAATATAGCATAAAACTGTCGTTTCATCTTCATCTGGTTTTTACCACTCCCAGTATTTTTAAGTGCCTATTGAATTGGCGATGTCCAGTAAGCAGACCTGTAATGATCCTTTAGTGACTGGGAGTTTTGTGGCCCTGAAAAGGGCGGTGTTGTGTTGAGATGCCTTGACGAAGGTATGAGGGCGAGACCGTGCGAGTGGCGCCGTTGGTTGTGGTGTGTGACAGAGTAAACCGTTGGCTGAGGTCCGGTGGGCCAGAAAATGGCCGTGGCTTCGCACGAGATCATGTGAATTGGACATTGGAAGATTGGGGCGTAATTTCATGTGGAGATGCTCAGGAAAAAGGTACGCCTCATGGTGTAGGTTGGTGGCATTCCACAGAGGGTCATTAATGGGGTGACATTTCCTTGGCCCTCACCGAATTGGCTGCTGTGCGAGGAAGAAATTTTACAAAGGTACAAGACAATTGAAGAACATGTAGTGCCATTTGTCCCCTCCTCCACATCGGTGAGAGATTCTTGCTAATGCAGAATAATGCCAGGTCCCACAGACCGTGTTTTATGGATGACTATTTGAATGAGGTTGGAATTGAATGCTTGGTGTGACCAGCTCGAAGTCCGGATTTGAACCCAATCGAATACATTTGGAACCAACTTAAGCGATGGGGTACGACGGCGAAACCCAGGTCTTAACACACTAGAGTTGGAAACTGCTCTTCTTGATGAAGGGCAAAATGCCTCAAGATTTTACCAGAAATCTTTTCAAAGGAATGCAAAAGCGTTTAAAACCATCACCCAAACAAATTTGAAACTTATAAATGGGACAATTTAAAAAAAATCAAACGACCGGAATGTTAGAAAGAAGCTTTACAGAAAAACCAGCAAAGGAGAGATTGATTTTTCTTAGATTTATTTACATAATCCAATCGAAAACAAGTTGGAGATTTTATCTGTGTTTTATTTACCTCTAGTTCTTTAAAACGGACCAACTATTGTAAGATAATCAATGGAGGATTGTCTAAGAGATAATTAAAAATTTTTAAGGGATGTATTCTTACAGGCAGTATAAGCTCAGTATCCCAACTAAGAAACTTTTCTATTTTTTCAAAATGCGACCGTTTATTTATCTACTAGCACAAAAAATGTACAACTTGGAAGTAAAAAACATGCAAAAAGAGGTGCATATTTGTTGGGTTCACTCGGGAGTAAAAGGCAATGGTAGTGGACCAACAGCGCAAAACACGCAACTGCGCTTGGATCGCCAACAAATAATTTTAAATTAACCAGATCCGATTTTGCAATTCCTCCAAGGGAAAAAATTTTAATGCGTGGCATCTATTTCTCTCCACTGCCACGGTGGGAGATCATTAAGGGTCCGTCCCCTCTTTAAATAAGAAACCCTGGTCTTGAGGTAGTTCAACGTTTACTCGTCTAAAGACTAGTCATTATATCTGTGGATTGTATCTATTTAAAATAAATTTGCGTTCATCATCTGATTGCGAATCCCGTGTGGTCAGAGATGACATGACCCCATAAAGTGGTGGAGTGCGGCAGGTTTCAGAGACAGAGGCATGTGATTTGGCCGGTATCCTGCCTCTGAATGGAGTAGATTGACCACAGATAGCAACTTCATTTCTTTGCTTAGCAGCGGCAGATTGATTAGACATCTACATTCACATTTTTTGTTTTTGTGCAAGCATAATTAAATAACATTTTAAAAAACGTTAACACTATAACTAACAATTGAATAAATGTATATGGTTTAACATAAGGCAAAATTAAACAAATTAAGGGTGGCCACTTATTTTGCCTCTCGGTGTATTTTAAATAAATAAAAACATCCTATTAGCTGCTGCTTAAGGGATTTCAACCAATCCACTTTGCAGAAATTATTAAGTACATAAATACATAATTAAAATTTGGTACTATTAGCGCTAGTGGTGATGTTTGAGTCAAGCAGTAATAGTTCAAACATTATATGTACAAATACTGGGTGTTGGGCTAATCGTGTTACAACTTTTGCCAGTAGATTCTACATTAAAAATGGAACCAAAAGTCCTAATTAACCAAGGTCCGAATGTCAACAGTTTAGGTGTTTTTTTTTCTTTTTTTATGAGGGGTCGCAACAGCAGAGGTCATATAAACCCTCAGGGTGCCGCTGTTTTTGAAAAAAAAAAAAAACCATTTGTAAGTATGACTGGTTCGAATTCAGGGCCGCTGGATTCGAACCCGGGACCTTTACCTTACAGTGATGAGCGCCGTGTCAACCGTTGCGGCCACCGACGCCCCGTTTAGGTGTTATTTCACTTTTTCGGATTTTTTTAAAGATTTCATGACCATGCTTCAAATAAACAACGATAACTCCAAAATTAAAAGGTTTGGAACAAATCCGTTGATATCATTGAAAACTACGTTAAATTTCCAATAAGATGTGATCAATACTAAACTTGTAAACCTTCGTGAAATAAGCATTTTAATAAGGAGAACAAAAAAATTTTTTTTTCAAAGTTGAAAAACTTACTATGGTGATTCTAAACTTCGATTTCCAAGTCGAGACCAGCAAATTTCAGAAAACCTATATTATGGTATGGTATGGTGGAAAAGGATACTAGGAAGCGGGGGTTTGTATTCCTCAGGCACTGCAGCCTTCTGGCTTATTGTACCTTCCTAGTTCCTTAGTTCAGGCAATAGACTCAATCCTTCTTCTTAGAAGTATCAGGTCATTGACTGTAGCTGCTGCAATTTGATTCCCTAAGTTTTTTCCGTACGTTAGGTTAAACCTCCATTGAGCTGTTGCTTCGCATTCGAAGATGATATGAGTGGCTGTTTCCTCCTCCTCATTACATAATCTGCAAATGGGATCATCGCTATATATACCCATGTTGTGTAGATGTTTTCTCAGATACCAGTGACCGGTTAGTAGTCCTACCACTCCTCTGAGTTTGGCCCTCTAAAATTGCAGCAGTGTTTTTGCCAGTCTCGGTGAGGGTTGTTTCATCATAAGTTTACTATGTCTAGCACCGCTAGAGTTTATCCACTTCTCCTTTTGTTTTGCTTGGATCCATTCTGCGATGGAGGATTCTATATTAGTTTTTGTTATCCCAAGAATAGGTTCGGGGCATTTGTATGGTCTTGCAGATCCTCCTCTGGCAGTCTGTCTGCTTTCTCGTTACCCAAAATTCCCCTGTGCCCTGGAACCCAAGATATCATCAGGTTGTTGTGTTTCCCCAGGTTTTGGAGATTTTGGATGCATTCACTGACTAGTTTTGATGTGATTCTTTTACATGCTAATGCTTTAATAGCTGCTTGGCTGTCTGATCTTATGAGGATTTTTTTGTCAATGTAACCTCTTCTAAGATTTTCCAGGGCACAAGCATTGATGGCATGTATTTCCGCTTGAAAGACCGAAGTGTACTTCCCTAATGAGTTTGATTGCTCATGTTTTGTTGACTTTGTTTGTTTTGGAGCCATCTGTACACCATATCATTGTATCTGATGCTCTCCTGTGTTCTTCCTCTCTTTTGTAGTTCGTTAAGACTATAGGAAGTTGTGAAGATTGTTTCCGGGATCATGTAGTCAGTCCCCATTTCTAATAATGGGTGTCTGATTTTGTTCAGAAAACGTACTCCTGCTTATTAAAAAAACGTTTAATAAATTCATTCACAATTTCCTTGTTTTTTTGTGTGTTTTTTTTTAATTTCCACCCGACAAATCCGTCAACCACGTTGTTTCCTTTCCACCATCAATTTCTTCATCTTTGAAAAAAGTAATTAAAAAAGCAATTACACCACTAAAAAGGATGTTAAATGGAGTACGTTTTCTGAAAATTGCTGGTCTCTGGGTTTGGAAATAGTAGTTTAGAATCACCATAGTAAGTTTTTCAGCTTTGAAAAAAAATTATTTTTCGAAGTTCTTGCTACTCAAACGCTTATTTCACGAAGGTTTACAATTTAGTATTGATTACATCTTCCTGGAAATTTAACGCAGTTTTCAATGGTATCAACGGTTTTGACCAAAATCTTTTAGTTTTGGAGTTATCATTGTTTATTTGAAGCAAGGTCGTGAAATCTTAAAAAATCAGAAAAAGTGAAATAACTCCTAAACTGTTGACGTTCGGACCATAGTTAATTAGGACTTTTTGGTTCCTCTTTGAATGTAGAATCTACTGCAAAGTTTGTAACACGAATAGCCGAACACTATAATTATTCAGAAATCGTTAGATGCGGTCTGGTGTGACGAAGGTTTCAGAAAAACATTTTCTTTATCGTGCCAACGTTTCGATCTTTATTGAGATCATCTTCAGGGCCTGGGATTTACAAACATTGTTTAAATTTAACAAATACATGTAGGATGTGGAAAAACTCTGTTTAATTGGAATCCATGGAGTAAATTCGAAATTATGGGCCTTTAAAATTGATCTTTGATGATCACTTTAATAAATTACATTTTATAGATCGATGGACATTAATTTTTCATCCTTTGTCCTTTTTTGCGTAACTTGTGACGCGCTGGGGAAAAGTCGATATTCTAGACGAAGGCCGACTGCAGAGTGAGCGTGAGTACTGACTACTGACTACTGAGTACGACCCAACCCAAGGGCAACGGGCATCGGCCTTGAGTAAAGAGTAAGCGAACTTTTGTTTTCTCTGTGTTCTGATTTCTGAGTGATATTGGTGTCCTGTCAAGCCGAGTTGACCGATACTCGTTCCTGCTGTAAAATGTGGATCTATGTTAAAATTTAGCCTCCGACCTTCCAGTGACTGGGTCTCAGGCTCTGCGAACCTTTTCGAAGTCAAAAAATGTTTAATCCGTGCTGATCAGGACAAAAGCAGAATGGGTGCTTTGGCCAGCAGGCAGAATGCTGGCGTCGAAGAGGTCGATGTCGTCTCCAACCATGCTTACAAGTACCCACCGAAATCAGGTCAGTTCTGGTCCAAACATGACATCCCACTTTATCGTTCATTCGTCTTGATCCGTCTTATTATTTTACAGGCAACTACTTCGGTAGCCACTTCATCATGGGAGGAGAACGGTTTGACACTCCGCAACCGGAGGCCTATCTCTTTGGGGAGAATGCGGACCTTAACTTCCTCGGAAGCCGACCGACCCCTGTCAGTAACAAGAACTGTGGCATTTTTAACAACCAATTATATAATCATCAATTACATTTCGTTTTCCATTATTATTTAAATAATATAATTTTATGTTTTTCCCAAGAATTAATGTTTAATAAATAGGGTCATACAAGTCCAGTAGACATTACAATATTTTTGATTATAAAGCCAGATGTGAAGAGGTTTTTTTTTGTTAGATATGCAAAGTGATAACCTACAGTTTAGTTATTTTGAATCATCTTGGTTTCTGTCTTTAATGGATTGAATTTCTGTCTGACTAAAGCACAGCCTTGGCCACTTGTCGGGAACGATCTCGCCATGTTAGCCAAGTTGTCTACTCCACCATACCTTTACCATTCCAAGTTCTTAGAACTCGACCCCCTCGTTGTGCTCTTATGGTTGTCTGGGTGCCTGGTCACAGGTCTGGAGGGTAAAGAAAGGCAGCCAAGGTCCAACCTTCAGACATAAACACTGCAATTGAGCCCCATGATGCTAAAAAATATAAAAAACGTATTAAAAGAAAGTGGCAACATCATCAGAGAAGCTTTCACGTATCAAAAGCACTGTCGATAGGTGGTCCTTGGGGGACCTGACAGTAATACATGGGTCATCCTCATCCAAGGATAGGCCATAAAGTTAACTCATAGTTTTATTACATTTTATTAGGTTTTGTGGTTCACTTGACCAAATAAATTCTTTCCTTTTTAAAAAGATAGTTCCTACTCACAGTAAGTTGTTTTGCAACGATCCGGATTTCGAGCCTTTTAGCTCATCATCAGGTTTTAGAAGTCCTTCAACCTGATGATGAGCTAAAAGGCTTGAAATCCGGATCGTTGCAAAACAACTTACTGTGAGTAGGAACTATCTTTTTAAAAAGGATTGAATACCACACTCACTCCATCATTTTTCATTTCTATTAATTTGCTAGTCAAAGCAGTAATGGATTATAACACAATAAATAAATTCTTTTCAATTAATTAAGGTTTTAGTTGAGATAAAAAATGGCAAAATGGAGGGAAAATTCAAAAAGGTGGAGTTGAGAAGATAGTGTCCGAGTGGATTGAAGTCACGATAGCTCAAGTGGTAGAGCAGTGGTGTATTTAGCCAAAGGTCATTGGTTCGAATTCCGCTCGTGACACTGACTTTTTTTATCTCAACCAAAACCTTAATTAATTGAAAAGTTAACACATAGATTACTTTTGGGCCAAAGCTTGCATCCGGTGAGAAAGGTTGCTCTAATTGAAGGGTGCAATTCCTTGGTTCCATATAGAAAGCTCGTTGGATGCTACCTAATATGAGAATTGTGCGTGAGTATGGTAGCAAGTATCTGGGTTCTGTGTTAATACTTTTGAAAGAAAGAGGGCAGTTTTATTGTATATAGTACTTGATGGGTATTCCATTTTCTGTAGATGTGCATGTACTGTACCCTTTAAGAGTGGTTGTATGCCCCGTTCTGTGCTTAGAGCACACAGGCGAGTCCTACAATAGTACAATGAGGCCTGGTTGCATTGGTTGAATCTCTTCAACAGTTACATTGTTTGTACCAAAACACTTCATGCTGGCAAATGTAGCACCAGTTTGTTATTGTAGTAGGTGTGCTTGTGTTTCCTCAGCTTCTTTGCAGAATTTGCATGTGCCATGACGGGTTATGCCAGTCTTATTCAGATGTCTATTTAATTTGCAGTGTCCTCTTAAGAATCCTGTTCGTTTTTCCTGCTCCCTTTTTAATGTTACTTCTTATTATGTTCTAATTATGTTACTTCTTTCCTTCCAAGTTTGTTAGGAGGTTCTTGGTTTGTGTCCAATGAAGGGCTCAGGACCTATCCTCCAGGAGCATCTGCTTTCTGACGCCTTCCTACTTCATGTCCTGGGACCCAGCAAAGGGTACTTTCTGAAAATGAGAGGCTTACTCCTTTTGAATGGATAGGGGTGGAATTGCTTCTTTTTTGTCCTCCCCACCTCTCCTTTTCAGACCTCTTACAGGGATCCTCCTGAACAATAGTTAAGGTGATGGTCTCTTTATAGTATCGTCTCTGCTGAGACTTCGTCTATGCCCAGGACCATTACAATCACAGGCCCTTACATTTTGCACTATCAGCCGGAATGAGAATATTCTGTTGAGGCCTGTGAATTGACGAACAAGACACAGGTCTGGAGAGTAATAGAAAGGCGATGAAGGCCAAGACATTTCAGCCTCCTAACCTACCACCTTGATCTGGCCCTATGTCACTAAAATTGCTATTTAAAAAAAAAAAAAGATGACAGCATTGGTGGGCAGGTCAGCAGAAACACTCTACCCTTTAAATATTAAATACTTCTGGGAAAATGTGAATGAAAGAAGAGCTTGCTAAGAATAGGCCATTCAAGGTTGTCACACGTACACTTACTTTGGTCCAAATCTTGTATATTTGTCTGGCAATATAAATTAATATATATATTGTCAACATGATTTTGAGTAAGAATCTTTTTTTTTTTTTTTTTTTTGGCGTTATGAACTATGCATATTAGCCATGTGACAAATTCGTATATGTGTGTTCAAATTTGGGGGGTTATTGGGAAAAAAGGGCCAGGGGCAACGGTGGGAATCGAACCCACGACCGCGGCGTGAGAGTCTCTCATGCTAACCACTCGGCTACCGCGGTCCCCCGAGTAAGAATCTTCCTAAATATATATATATTTTAATCATTTGTAATTTATGTACTTTTCAATGCTGATATTGCTGAGTTCATAATGAATGATCTCTTCTCAAAAAAAATTTTTAGCTCTTAATTTTAAAAATGAGAGAATTTTTACTTATTAACTTATTATAATTATATCATGGGAAATTCTAATTAAACAATCTAGTTATTTGTTTTGTATACCCGACAACAACAACTTCTATGGTTAAACAATTTGTAACATTTTTCATTACCATTCATGAACTCTTTATTTTTTAGTCATTTAATTTTTTATAACTAGATATATTATTTATACCTAGTTGGTCTTTGTTTCTCAGTTTCCTTATCCACCACCGCAACCGAATGAGCCGACCAAAACTCTCAAAAGCCTTGTAAATATTCGAAAGGAGTCATTACGACTTGTGAAAGCTGTTCCTATCACGACAAAATCCGACGGCGACTCTTCGGCCAAGCATATCCAGTACAACATTGAATTCGTTTTTGACTGTGATGCCCGTACTTCCATAACTATTTATTATTTTTGCACTGAAGACATTGTTGGAAATGGCCTTGTGTAAGTAACACACTGTAAATTGCACAGTTTTCAATTTCTAAAATTTAAATATAAATGTTTAGATATACACCGAGAGATCAAAGCCTTACGTCTGAAACATTCCATTATCAAAAAGGAGCCAACCAGCTGTTCTCGCAGCCTTCTCATTTATTCGACCCGAGTAAATTTTCTGCTGAAGAACTGTACTTCAACCCAGAAAAAGAGATTATTCCGATAGCCATCCATTGTGTGGCACAAGACGGACCTGATGGTAATTGGCGCCGTACTTCATTTCAATTTAAATTAAATATATTACTCAAGGGAAAATTTGTACAGACACGAGACAGTCACATACGTGTATTTCTGTCGTGGAAAGACATTCTGATGGCACTTACGTCCTCAAAGCCTTGAAGCAGAAACTGTTTGTAGATGGACTGTGCTACCTCATACAAGAGATTTATGGCATTGAAAACAAAAACATAGAAAACCCCAAGGTAATTCATTAAAAAGTAAAAAATTAATGATTTTTTCTCATAAAAACTTTTTTTAGGCAAACAGTGATGTAGAGACAGAAGATAATGGTGCAGAATGTGTTATTTGCATGTGTGATGTCCGTGATACTCTAATTTTGCCTTGTCGTCATCTTTGCCTCTGTAATTCGTGCGCTGATTCTCTTAGATACCAGGCCAACAATTGTCCAATTTGTAGAGCACCTTTCAGGGCACTTCTGCAAATCAGGGCATTGCAAAAATCAAATTCACCTCTACCGAATTTACCACCTGAAGTAAATTTACACAAAAAATTATTATTTAAAGTTCTTATCTAATGTTTTAAACTTTTATTGTCTTTTAGGGAAGTAGTGAAAATATACCATCCGGCTATGAAGGCGTTTCTCTGATTGAGGCTCTCAACGGCCCGACAACGATGAGGCCACCAGCTACATTGCACTTAGAATCACTTGAAGATCCAGATTTAGAAATACCAACACATTTATTGAACAGGTAAGACTTGTTAAATTAATTATAATTTATTTAGTTTAAATGTAATGTTTTTTATTTCAGATCAAGTTTAGAAAGGACCCCAAAAACATCTAAAATGGTAGGAAGCCCAGATTATGAAAAAGAAGTGTCCTGTTCCACACCCGAGGTTGGTATTTATTATATGTATGTACAAAAAAAAAATTAATTTGTTCAGCACAAAATCATGTTATTGCTCAAAATGCTGTTCCTCAAATTTATTTCTGAATAATGTAATTAACACTCGCACCGCGTCGGTAAAAAAGTTATAGTAGGTGGACATTTTAGACTAATAATCTTTTTTTTTTTCTTTTTTTTGTAAATAAAACGATTTAATAAAAAAATTATATTTTTATGCGAAATTTTTAGTTAGTAGTAGTTTTAATAATTTAATTTAATAATTTAGTTTAATAATTAATTATTTTGTCACGAAGACAAAGGGTAAGGGGTTAGGATGCGAATAGTAGGGATTTTTATGTACGAAGTGAGTAATAAATTTACTTCAATTAAGTATTTCTTTCATCTCAACCGAGACCTAGATAAAAAGAATAATTAATTGAATGTTTTTTTTTTTTTTTTTTTTTTTTTTTTTTTTTGCCTTATGATCTATGCATATTAACCATGGTGACGAATTCTTATATGTGTTTATATTGGGGGGGGGGGGTATCGTGAAAAAAGGGCCAGAGGCGACGGTGGGAATCGAGAGTCTCTCACATTAGCCACTCGACTACCGCGGTCCCCTAATTGTAATAATTAATATGTCAATTATGATCACTAAACATATATGGAATAACATTTATATTTTTGTTTGAAACAAGCTAATAAAATAACTTTACATTTAGGAGGAATACAGTGGAGGTAGATTGTAAAAATTATTATGTTAAGGTTTTTGTTGTTTTTATTTTATTTTATTTTTTTTTTAATTGTACAACTTATTAGTCAATAGTATATAGGCAGGGAGTCTGAAACATATTACACTTTTGTACATATTTGTTTTATTTGTAAATAAATTATTCTTATTTTTAGTCTTAAAAAATAATAACTGTGGGACTCCATCACTGTTTCACGTCGCTCGCCAATCCCAGGCTGCTTCGCTGCTCCCATTTTTTTTTTTTTTTTTTAATTGCCCGCTAATCCCCTCATAAAAAAGCTAGCAGGTGCTAGATGCTGTGGTGTGGCCTGGGGATTTTCAAGAGGAGCCCCCATTAGTGTTATAAATATATAATTTTAAAAAAAGCAAATCAAAAAATAATAATAATAAGCTCAAAAAATTCCAAGCCTCTCGATTTTTGATAGGCTCACAAGAAAAAATAACTTGTACAGTACTCCAATGCTTTGTCAAAAAAAAAAAAAAAATATATTTTCTATGCTGTTTTCTTTTAATTTGCGTTCTATTTTAATAATTATCTTTGCTGTAAACCTCGAAGAGCTATATAGAATTGTCTATGTGTAAATATTGACCCCTGATAGTTCTTAGTTTTTTGAATTTATAATCAAACCTATTTTACCAAAGCTTTGACCGTGTGACTTATTTATGGTCATAGCAATTGCTAGACGGGAATTGTAACTATTTCAAAACAAAGGGTATTTCGGTTTCTCCTGGGGTGTCTAAATATATTCGAGGGATGTGCACAATATCTCCATGTTTATTCCCAGTTAATATTTTGCAGTGTAGTATCGTCCTATTAATTTTCTTACTATCAAACAGGCCCCATTAGGCAAATTTCTTAATAGTATAACTGTACTGGCTCTTAAGTACAGTTCTGCAGGAGGCATTGAATGTGACATTGATTGTAAATATTGAATGAGATACTATAAACTTACGTTTTCATTGTCTCCTTTGTCACCAGCTACTGATCTATGAACCCTCTTAATATTTCTCCTAGTAGACATTTCACAATAAGATGATTTTTTTGCAACTTCATCATTTCTAGCTGATAAAATAGTTCTACTAATTATTTCTTCCTCCGATATATATATATATAGTAAATATTGTCTTAAAAGACCTGGGATGGTGGGGCGAGTTAATTTATCTTAACAATTATAATTTGTTAACGATACTCTTTTTGTTGAAGGTACGCATGTCAGTACTTTTGGCAAGGGAAAACGAGGGATCTAGTCCAAAAGAAAAAGGAAAATCGCCGTCAATGTCTAGCCGTTGGAGGGAAAAACCGAAATCTAAAGACACCGTCAAGACTGTTAACGAGACCGCATCAACACACGATGAAGTAAAACACAAGCAAACAACCTTTAAAAAAATTACACTATATTATTTACATTGTTACTGTAGGCAAGCGTAGAAGAGGAAGTGGACAGCGAGGCTGAAAAAATGTCCCCCTTGTTGAGCAATAGGAAAGGAAGCAAAGATGATGACGACGACGAGGATTTGAGCGTCGGCGACGAAAGCCCTGGCCACAGTGGCCCTCAGGGGAGAGGATCGTCACCCACATCACAAGGTCTGCTCCATAAGTAGAATCAAAGCTTCTAGCACATCTATTAGATGTACATAATTCAATCATGAAATAAAATAGAAACTTTTGTAAATAATTTTCCTCAATTGGTGCTAGTAAATTTAACACTTCAACAACACTTATCATAGGGGATTGTTTTTATTTCATTCTAACAGACTGATACCCTTCCATTTTTTGCCATTTGGCAACCTTTTAATCGGTTGAAATATTTCACTTTTATAACATTTTTTTTAAAATTAAGTTACCTTTAGACTAATACTTAAGATTGCGATACTTAATCATTGTTCATCCTTTTAATTTTATTATATTCATATAAACATCATCACCATTATTATTATTATATTATTATTATTATTTATGGTTACCTTTGTATTGAATAAATAAAAATTATTTCTACTTGAGTGCAAAACAGTTCAATAATTTCCTGATCCCTGCTAGTTCTTAGTTTTTTAAAATTTGAAGTTGTGCGAGTGACTGCTTTCCAAATTAAACATAAAATTAATTTAATGGTACTCAGGACAGAACAAAGCTAATAAAACTTCCTGAGTTATTTTAAATTAATTTATTTGTATATAGAAAATGGGATATTCATATGCTTGGTTGCACATGGACAATCACTTGTTACAGAACATCTAATACTGTGATCCTTGCTTTGATTTTACTTCTATTTCTTTCTTTTTTTTTTTACTTTTTTTCTTGCAATACTTTTATTAATTTAAAATGTAAAAATAAACGCAACGGCACATTATCAAGAGGGATATGTGCTGGTGTGACATGTGGTCTGCGTTGCTTACGATTTTAACAGCTTTCACTTCACAAGAGGGTACGATGATTTCAAACGTTATTTTTCCAGTGGAGATATTTTATCTATCTACTCATGGTCGCACATTTGTATACGGCCAAATTTGTATATTTATATACGTACTTATTTTTGAACCTTGAACTAAATTTAAATATAGGTTCTATTTAATTAATAATAAGTAATATTTAATTTTTTTCACTTTATCTTCTAGTTCAGTTCCACTATTCAAATCAATATTGATTATAAAAAGCTAAACGAGATACAAGGCAGGGGGAGTGCTACAATATGTAAATATATGTCTAATTTTTTGTCTTTTTAATTAATTACTTTTAATAAAATAACATTTAAGAATTTAATTGGCTTCAAACATTAAGAAAATAATTCTAAAAAATATTATCTCCTGAATTGGACTAAATCGTCAATAAGTACATAGCTATCATTTTGCCTCAATTAATAATTCTAGACAATGGGTGCTTATGTATTTAGTTTGTTAATTATAATTCAAAAAAGAGGAAAGATTTTAATTTGCGATTTCTATCTGGCTTTTTTTCTAAAGATATATGTATTTAAAACAATTTTTTCTTTAACTTCTTTTCTTTCAATCCAGCACAAATTAATATTAAATAATTATTTGTAATTTGGTCATTATCGATCATTATTCCTACCCTTCCTGTCTGCCGGTCGTGTTTTGCCATTTTGCCATCCCCAATGTTTTGGTTTGCTCCTCTCCATTTTACAAAGGAAATTTGAATTTGGTAACAACCAAATTGCAAATATTAAAAACTGCTATTCTTGTTTATATCCCCTGAGGAGAGGCTTGTTTAATTGAGGGATAATATTGATTGATAATAAATGAAATATTTTACAAAATTACCAATTCCTCAGGTCTTTATAGATATCTTTAGCTTGATTTATCTGCACTGTAAAATTTAAGACAGTCCCCTAACAATGAAGGCGGCCAAATGGCGTAACACGTCTGACAGTCCAAGACAGGAGAGAAAGGCCGGGGAAAAATGATCAGGAATGACCAAATTACAGGTTCATCAAGATCACAAAGAAATATCTCATGAATTTTTAATGCAATAATTAATACATAATCATTTTTTATAGTACTTATTGCTTTTATTATAAAATTGTTTTTACTGTTTATTATTGATCAGGGTTTAACTATTCATTAAAGACAAGGTAGTGGTAATTTGCATTATGATTTATTATTTGAGATCAAAATATATAGTTTTTAAGCTAAAAGAATATCATCTTGTTTATGCCTTAAATATTAGAAATTCTTTACTTTATTAATAACTTTTAATATTTATTTAAAATCACAGCTTTTTATACTGTTTTCATTGTTAGTTCGCACGCTTAAAAATCTTTAAATTATCATAGATCTTAATAGTTAAAGCTAGGTTTTGATCAATAGTTCAAAATATTAAAAAATACTATTTGCTGAAGTGTAAAGAATGTTAATTCCTACAATGGTAAAAAAAAATTGTATTTAAAAAAAAATGATAGGTTGTGTGTTCCACAGGTGGCAAAGCAAAAGCGGAAAATCTAATGGAAAAAGAAGGGACAACTGCGGCAAATGGGACCATCGCGGTTGGCGACGATTCCGATTATTACACACCCGATGATCCACCTGCGGCAACTAGCCCACTCCACAATGACAAGGTAATTAACTTGCAGATAAAAATTTATTCTTCCGTTGTAACCATTTATTCCTGCCCCCCTACGGTGTTTTAAATGTTAAAAAGTATTTTTCACAGTTTTCTTAGAATTTATACAAAAAGCATATTTATGAGTCATATATATTGACTGTATAATACCTTTTTTTAAATTACTAGCTTGAAAACAATGGTATATAAAAATAAAAACATTTTTTCATCACTGTCAAATATAAAAATTGCCCAAAAGTTAATTTTTCTAGACAAATTTTTATCCTTTCGGTGTATTCATAAATTCAATATATCACCTTAATTTTTATATACGTTTTATTATTAATTTCAATATTTTTAATATGCATGATAATTATTAATTTAAATAATAAAAGCTTTTAAATTCTTTTAAATTTATTGATACTTTTTATGTGCGATCGATATTTTATGTTGTTTAATATCTTCTCATTACATCAAAAATCCTCTTCTTTTGTCAATTAATTCAATTAAAAATATGTGATGTGGCTTTGTGTCTTTTGGAGCTTTGTACCAAGCATGTTTGTTGTTACCTGTGTTGAAATTTCGAAAGAAAAAGAAAAAACACTTCATTTCAGTATTTGGCCATTTGAGCCGATGGATCTTGAACTATTTATTAATTGTTTTTATCAAGAGATTATTAACAAATCAAGACGATTTCTGTAGGTGGAGTTTTTTAAAACAGATGATGGCCTGCCTAGAGTAACAGTCTGAACAAGTGAGTTTTATATTTTTTTGTTTTTTATAATCACTCGCTTCTTAAAAATACCGTCACTTTTTTTTTTAAATAAATTTTTATAACAGGTGTCGGGAAATTGTAATCAAAATTTAGGTACATCAGTGCACCTCTGTCATAAATTTAATAACATTTCATAAAATAACGACATATTTTTCTACTACAAAATTTAATTTAAATTATCTTGAAGATTTTCTTGTGGCTTTTAAGAATTATCCTTTTTTAGCTTTTTTAAACATTAGGGTTTAAAGAAAATCCATTAATTTAATATATTAAGTTTTGGATACCTAACAACAACCATACAGGTGAGTTAATCTTTGAAGTATTTGATGATGTGGAATGTAGTCAATGGTGTTTATTTTTTTGGGAGAGAAACAAAAGGAAAAAAGAACCATACAGGAGGGGTTTTTAGTTAATTTATTTATTTACGGTTTGTTACCAGTTAACCAGAAAAATTGGTGGCTTTTCATTTGTTGTTTTAATATCTTACCGCTTCAAAACCCATTATTATTACTTATTGTGTCTTGGTACTATGACAGCCAAGGAAGCTCGTAAAATTTGAACTGCATACAGTAATGAAACAATAAGTGAGCATTCAAAAAGTACGCTGTTTAGCTAAGGTCGGTTGAGATGAAAAATATGGCATGCTGAGATGAATGGCAGGATTTGAACCCATGAACTTCGGCTCAATATCCCGTAAGCCAAACCCCTAAACCAATGAGCCTGGTCCACTTGGACAGCTACTGCTCATTTCAACCAAGTCCTTAGAAAAAATATGATTAAAATAATTAATATGGTTAATTATGACTACTAAATACATATATGGTTTAAAAAAGTCCTCCAACTCAAAGCATCACTTTTTGTTGGTGAAAATTTGGTTTTTGCTTCAGTGGGACATTGCTTTCCCGTATACTTGGTCGTTCTTAAAAGGACAGGAGGATCTTTAACGTCCGCACCTAGCCTTCTGCCTTATCGGACGGTTTGATTCTCAAGATGAGAGCACACCTCCGCATATGACAGAAGTGTGTTACTGCCGCAGCGTTGATGTAGAGGCAACTCAGCCCCGAGGGGCCAAGACAACCTCGCTCCCCGCTTGCCTATTCCAAGTGGTCAGGTCTGCATTAAGCATCGAACCATATGACGTGCGCAAAGGCCTAGGCCGAAATAAATTAGCCTGGTTTCCCTCGCACTCCCTAGATAGAGAAGGCCACTTTATCTCTCAGAGTATTGAGGCTCCCCCAGCGTAGAGATTTCTGGATCCTCTCCGGCCACGGTTTTGTTTAATCACCCCCTAGAGAAGACTGCCTATGGTTAAAGCCGCCAATCGAACACATTACATACATCTGCACAGCGCACTTGAGTAGGCGCAACCGATTTACTACCCATTTCCATCCGCCACTACTCACGCATTCGGGGGACTCCGTCAGCATAGTCTGAGCATCCTCAATGCTATATGCTTCGATTGTCCAATCCGCCATATCCCATGAGGCCGAGTGAATAACGATGGTCATACGCAAGTTTCATGCGAAGGTCACAGATAGAAGACAGCCTCTTCTCTACTAGGTACCTGCCAGGGGTCTTGCCACATTCCCAGTGTAACAGGGGCTGAACCTTGGAACATTTCTGTTACCCCGTATTACATATGGTTATGCACCTTCCCCCGTCTATGCCGACAGGATCTGGTAACCTAATCCACATGTGCCTCTGATAAAGCACCTGCCGACCCAAAAGTACAGCTTGTGTTTTAGAGAGGTTGCCATGCCCTGAGGGGGGACCATTTTTTTTTCACCCGGACTCTCCCCTTCCCTTGTAACCAAGGGTTGGAAGAGATTGCAGGGAAGAATGAAGGAACCTGGATTGAGAAAGGGACGTGGATGAGGGCACCCCTTTCTTGGGCCCCGAGCCTTATCCACATTATACCACCCGTCACTTCAATGGGACAGAGACAGCCAAAGGTATAACCTTGTGTTACTGTATATATTTTTTGTTGCATATTAAAATCCAGCCAAAAACTTCTCTTTGTACCATTAAAGCATTGCAAGGCAAATCTTTACCGCCTGAAGCTTGTTACCATTAATCAATTTATGAAGAATCCATTTGCCCAGCTTCAGCATATTCCCGAGCTAGAGTGAATTGTTTATTCACCTTGGCAAGCAATTAACATGTTTGAACGAATTAAGTTCGATAACCGATATGCCCAGTAATCTTCCCAAGAGGTTCAAGTGGCAGTAGTCTCAAGACTTGGCCAGTGAGACAGCCTAGAAGAATGATCAGTGATTCTTTGTACTCTAGTGCCAGATTATTTTATTTTTGAAATTAGTTGATTTTCTTTTATTCTTTTTTAAATTTGTACAAATCAACGTATGCATATTAAAATACCGTACAAATATAGGGGGCATCAGTGGCCACAATGGTTAAGGCATTGATACATTGCTCTTCACTATAGGTCAAGCAGACCTGCATTTATACCTGTCAAACTTACAAATGCAATATTTATCAAAAACTGCAGCACCCCTCCGTTGTTGTTGTAACACCCTCGTATTACCAAGCCTCAGAAAAATTCTGTATATTTCCATACTTATATTTATTGTTCAAATTAATTCATAAAATTAAAATAAATCGTAATAGAAACATCATGGACACTACATACATATCATACCCCACTTGATACTTGATACTGCTAGAGAAATTATGCCTGAATTCTTATAAATTTTCAATTTTGGCAGAAACAAAAAAGCCCTAGAGCATAAAGCCACATCTACATCTGACAATTGCTTTTAAAAATAAGTTTACTTTTTTTAGAACGAGTCTATTCGTTTGGGAAATTCGGCTCCTGGTACACCTCTGAGTGCCACAAGTCACAGGTCTAGCGCAGATAGCTACTCTTCTTCTAACAGTTGCACCCGCCTTCTCATTGAGAAAAACAACCATCATAACTGAATTCTAATGTGATTAATAGCACTGTTTGTTCAATTACAATTTTAAAGCACAAATTTTTTTGAAATCAGACAAAGCGCAAGGCGAGATGCATTTTTATTTATTAAAACACTGCTTTTATTTATTTTAAATGTAATATAATGGGATTCTTTTGTTCATTGTGATAACTCGCTGTGCAAGCTGCTTATTATAAAATTAGAATAAGTAAGCTGACTAATATTAATTGTTTTAATTATTTCTTTCCCTGATTGCACAAAAGTTGCTCATTTTTGTATAATGGTTTAATTTTTTTAAATAATTAAAATTAATTTGTATTTATGTAAAATAAAAATATTGAAGAAATGAATTATGTTGTTTTTATTTACCCACTCTTTTACTTACCCACCTCTAGGCTTGACTTTAAAAAAAGTAATGGATATAATTTTTGTCTAAAGGAAAGATTATGTATGAAATATAAACAATAAAAACATTGTTTAAAAAGTTGTTTAATATAATAAACAATTACATAGCTTGAGCAAGCTCGGTCTGAACTTTCCTCCATGCATCAAGTGGGCCGTGCGAAGGCCTGTACTTGACATTGCAGCCATCATTTTGGAGTCTTCCGTCATTTCTGAGGTTCTCGAATTCTTCACGGTCGTATTTCGTGAATCCCCATTTCTTTGAAACGTAGATCTGAAAAAAATGTGAAATTAGTATGAGAATTCAACCAGGAAAATATTAACAGTGTACCTTCTGACGACCAGGGAATTTAAACTTGGCTCTCCTCAACGCTTCGACGACAGCAGCCTTGTATCTATCGGAAGACCTAATGCTCATAATAGGCTGTCCAATGTGTACACGTGCGACGATACCTTGGGGCTTGCCAAAAGCACCTCTCATTCCAGTCTGGAGCCTGAAAATTTCCAAACATATTTCATTATCTTCTGCAGAAGTTCTATTAATCAGCAATGGATAAATAATTTATCTTAAATATAAATCTCATAACACAGTTGCATTTTTAAACCATTATGTTTTTTATATTTAAATTCAGTGCAGCCAGCACTAATTTTTACGGCCACACACTTTCAGCTGGGCCACGGTAATCAGCCTGGCCTGTTGACAACAGGGATTTTTTTATATATGAGGGTTCACAACTGCAGAGGTCATAACCCTTGGGGGTGTCAGAGTAAAAAAATAAATAAAAAATATATTACAAAAATTTGTAAATATACAGGGCCACTGGATTTGAACCCAGGACCTTTACCTTACAACAATGCCATGTGAATGCCTAAACCGTTGTGGCCCAACAACAAAGATTAACTCATCAACAACTGGACTGTTGACACAACTTGTTTTTTTTTGTTTTTTTAAAACTTGCATTCGAGCCTTGGTCAAACCTACTGCTTGACCTGCAGCTGCCCACACCAATGCTGCTGAAGTCCTACCACTGCCTGATCTGTACATTTAATCAACCACTGAGTAGGGTAAGTCACTGATTTAATTTTTTTTTTGTATTTTGTCAGGTCTGATTTTTTAGTGATAATTTTTTCGAGAAAGCTTTTTCAATATTTTCACCTTCTTCTACATGTATTTTTTTTTGTAAAAAGTGAGTAATAAAGGTAGAAACTTATCCAACACCTAACAGATATACCTCAGCCCCAACACTAATGTTTAAAAAAATGTGTGGTATTTAGTGACCATTAGTTAATGATAATTTGGAGAGATCGTGAGATGCAGTCTGGTGGTTTAGAAAAATTATTTTTAGTAAAGTTAATTACAAATCTTCAAATTAAAGTGAATAAATATCATCAGAATTACGTCCCTTAAGGTCAGCATAAATGCACAGGTAGGTGCATTTCAGAACGTTTTTCATCATATCAATTATTCAATACCACAAAATAAATTTAAAATGATATATTATTATGCTAAAGTAAATTCATGTTGGATAAAGACCCCTTAACATAGACACCCCACGAAAAAATATAATATATAAATAATAAATAAAGAAATAGCATATACATTTCTCTAAAAAAAACACAATGCACTATTATTTAAAAAAAAATCTTCCAATTGATATCAATATCAGAATTACGTCCCTTGTAGTCAGCATAAATGCATAGGTAGATGCATTTCAGAACGTTTATCATCATCTCAACATTATTGTGTAACTTTAAATAGTACAAATTACTAATATTTACTGCATGTATTTACGTGTATGTGGTATGTGCTTAAAGTAGACTGATAGACAAATTTAACGAACTACTCAATTTATTTAGTTTAAAATCAAATTATCTTTTCATCATATCAATTATAAAATACCACAAAATAAATTTAAAATGATACAATATTGTGCTGAAGTAAATACATGTTGGATAAGTCCCCTTAATATAGGCGCACCCCACCAAAAAAGGGGACTCAAGGAGAAAAAGTTTGTGCAAACAAAAATGACAACAAAGTAAGATTTAATTGTTTTAGCTCTCTTTAAACCATAATAAACATGTTGCAAACAGATTTCTGCTCATTACATTCACTCACCAACATACGTACGTTATATACATACCAAAATTACTTGGGTTGTTAATAAATCCAATATATAAATAATAAATAAATAATTGTCTTCATATACATTTCTCTAAAAAAAATCTAGCAACCACAATGCACTATTATTTTTAAAAAATCTTCTAATGATGTCAATATCAGAATTACGTCCCTTGTAGTCAGCATAAATGCATAGGTAGATGCATTTCAGAACGTTTATCATCATCTCAACATTATTGTGTAGCTTTAAAAGTATAAAGTACTAGTATTTAATGCATGTATTTACATATAGCATATGTGGTATGTGTTTATAGTACACTGATGGACAAATTTAATGAACCACTCAATTTATTTAGTTTAAAATTAAATCCATTATCTTTCTACATTAGTTACAAGTAATTAAGAGCTATTGTAGTCAAAATAAACAGTAAATAATGCTTTGTTTATTTTTGAACAGGCTAACCCCATTTGCACAAAAAAGCATTACGACCTTCCATTCTGCTGTGCCTAAAATCGCTTTCAGTTCATATTTTTCCTTTGTTGATTTCATTTGATATTCTTATTCTTAAACCTTTTTCAATGATGTTGAGCAAGTATGACAGTACCAGAGTAATAACATTAAAGGAAGGATACAGCCAGCACGAAGTCGCCAGGAGACTGATGCTGTGGGGTTCCTCCGGTGGAATACATTCCATGGTGGGTCAATAATGTTCTGGGGTGGAATTTCTTCTCTAAGAGATTCTTGCTAATGCAGAATAATTGCATGTTTTAATGACTGCCTATTTGAATAAGGTTGGGGTTAAGTACTTGGTGTGGCCAGCACTGAGTCCCGATTTGAACCCAATCAAACTCATTTGGGACCAACTTAACTGAAGATAAGGTGGCAAAACCCAGATCCTAGAAGAATTGGAAACGTTTTCTTGGAATGGGAAATAATTCCTCAGGATTTTGCAAGAAATCTTTTTCAAGGAATGCAAAGGTGTTTAACAGACATGATTCATACCAGAGGTGGAAATATTTGGTATTGATAGGGGATAATTTTTTCTTTGTTTTTGAATTTTCAGTTTTGTTCTTTACTTAATAATTCGTTTCCCCCCCCCCCACCAGCACCCCGAAGGATTATATAACCTCATAGTAAAAGTGTATAATGTGTATTTATGTCAACCATTTCTTTAATTAATGTTAGTGTACGTGCTACAGAGTAATAAAAACCTTAAGTGTTATTTTCAGAATTACGTCTCTTATAATCAACATAGATGCATAGATATACATGTTTTTGGATCTTGAAGAAAAGGGTATTTCAAAATTTTTTTAGTCCTAATAATCAAAATCAACTATAATTATAACAGCGTAATTCTCTTTTCTACTTAATCGTACCAACTAACCATTTATCATATTTTATTGATTCAATTGTTTATTTTCAGTATAAGAAGTTTATTCCTTGTTGCATGGCTGTTGTCAATTTTATTCTTTAGAAGCACTTAATGTTAGTGTACGTGCTACAGAGTAATAAAAACCTTAAGTGTTATTATCAGAATTACGTCCCTTATAATCAACATAGATGCATAGATTGATGCATTTCAGAACGTTTATCATCATAATTTTTTTGTCAAAACAATGACCAGGACTTAAATATAAACACTTACCTATCAGCTCCGGCGCAGGACAACATTTTGTTTATCCTGATGACATGGAATGGATGGAGCCGCATCCTGATGTGGAACTGGTCCTTACCACAGTTCTTCACGAGATACTTATTCGCGCAGATACGTCCAGCTTCAAGGGCCTCAGACGAAAGCTGTTCATATTCATCAGAGACAAGATGGACACACAAGGGGAAATCGTCAACCTTCGCTTTCTTTTTCCCAAGATCAAATATCCTGATCTTTGAATCGGGGACACCTCGACAAAACCGAGATTTGGGGTAAGGCTTGTTTTTGCAATAGCGATAACTGTAAACATGAAAACAATAATTAATATTCCTGAGAACAAAACAATATAAATATCTAGGTAATCTGTAATATCATTCATTATAGTGTATATATAAATTTAACTCTTTACTTTCCAATTTTTTTTTATACAATTAGTTATGTTCAGATTATTATTTTTCACTCTCGTTTTGGAATAGAATGCTAATGGTCGATTTTAATGTGTTAAAAGTTCAATGAACATGAGTCCACGTATTTCGCAAGAGAGAAAAACAAATAATAACATCTTTTCAAGTAACTTGAGTCTATTTTTATTTATTCAAACATACATACTAGGACGGACTGCGATAGCAGAGTGTTTAGTGATAGCCACTCTTGGCTCGTAGAGCCTGTGGTAAAAAGGGCCAGGGGTGATGGTTTGATTCCCACCGTCACCTCTGGGACTTTTTTTCCATAATTCTCTTTCCCCCAACTACATTGAAACAAACAACTACTCAACTACATACTCTGGCTAATAGAGAGTTCATAAGGCCAATACAAAAATTTAAAATGTTAAAACCTGTGTACACACTTCTCAAAATGGATTTACATAACTGTGTTATTTTCTCTTGTGTGCTGCTTTTCATTTTTCTCCTTTTCCCAAGTTGAAGCAGCTACCACAAGTTAAAATATTCTATTTGGTTTGTTGATATGATCCGTATTCACAAAAACTGCTAGATCAACTTTTCATACTAATGAGCTAATTATATTATTTCATAGACTTTCTGGTATAGAGGAATACATGACTAGAAATATATTAGAACTGTTAACTTTCAATGTGACAGTGAAAGAGATGAGGAAACGTGGTTGACAATGCATATGGAGATATGGAATGCACTACAAAGACTTCAATTTGTTGAACACAGACTTATCTGCTTTAGTGAATATATATTTTTTTTTTTTAAAAAGTCAATATTAATTTTTATTTTAATCTGGAGTATTCAGTATTTTATTTAATAAACAGTCTGTCGTCAGTATGAATTTAAAATCTTATATCGTTTAAAACCTTGGTTTTACCATATTTTTTGGGGTGTTTGATCTACCACACTAGTTGGAAAAAATGTATCGATCCTACCAAGCTTTTATTTCAAAAGCTTATTAACATATTCAATATGGGAGATGCACTACAAGTGATTCTACAATAGAGAGGAGGAAAACAACAGTAACTATACAATGATTGAAAAACCTGGTACCACAATGCTCTTCAACCACTTTTCTTTTGTGCTCGTGTCCTTCTACAGGTTTGATGTGGGGGGATCAAGAAGTTGAATGAACTTCTACTAAGTGATTTTTCAGACTTCATGAAAAATTTACTGTCAGGCAATGTTCTTGTATTAAATGATAAGAACACGAGTGCATGAGATTTGTCCATCTGCCTTAAGGTTAATCATAAGTTTCTGAATTTTTTTAAAGTGTATTATGCTATAATATTAATGGCTTCAGGACCAAAATACAAGACTTTATGTTTATTGACTTTAATTTTTTGTTTTCAAGAGACTGTTAAAAAAGTAATTTTTAAAAAATGGCCTACATACTCCATTTTCTTCATATGCTTTTAAAGGAATGTTTGTCTCCACCTAGGAACACGAAACCCCATTATTTTTAAAATTATTAAATCAAACTTTTAGGGCTTATTTAAAAGCATCTTCGTGATCCCCTGACAAGGGATTTAAAAAAAAAAACTACTTTTACGGTCCATTCAATTTTAAATAAATAATATAAAACTGTTCAGTGACTGATTGACAGACAACGCACAGACCAAACTGCTGGATCTAAAGGACTGATAATGTCCTTATGAAAGATAATGACATAGATAGCTGCTAAGAAAGGATTTTTTGAAATTCCATCCCTAAAGCGATCATACCGAGAATTCTTTACCATTCTATGCATATAAAACTGTTCCTTGACAGACAGACAATGCAGACTAAACCATTGGATCTAAAGGGCTGAAATTTCTACAGTGCATTCCTGAAACAACATGGAAAACCGCTAAATAAGAATTTTATTTAAATTGCAGCCCTAAGGGGATCATATGGATTTTTTAACCATGTTCTAAGTGAACTGAAGAAGAGAATAATTTGAGAAACAAGACATACTGTAAAGCCATACTATCACGGCATTGCATTAAAAAGGTACATTAAAAAAATAAAGCTAATTTCTACAAAATTGTTTTAATTTTAAGCTCGATACATTTTACACCTTAAGAAATTAATATACAGCAAACACGGAAGTGATATGTGGCTTGATTTAAAGGTTATTTCCATCTGGTCAACAGCAATCTAATAAAACTTTTTGCATTCACGTTTTAAAATAAGACGTCTTAGAAATAAAAAATAAATTTTGGAAAAACAGTAAAGCGTCCATTTGACTTATTTTAAATAACAAGACTAAGGTCACTTACCACCGTGCTGGCCGTCTCCCCATCCTGAAAACAAACAAGTTCTACTTAGAAAAAGCCCGGTTATAATTTTTTCCTGCAAAGGAAAAAGTATAGACTGCATTTTTTAAATTTTTCTTATTATTATTTGCTTACTGAATAGGATGTTTTCGAATAAAAATTCTCTAGACTTACTTGAGAAAGCGTGCAGTAACAAGACAACGAAAGAGGTCCGAGGTTACAGCTTTCTAGGGACAATCGCTGCCACCAGACGAATGAACAGTACGATTAAGTATTCCCAGCAGGTCAAGGATTTTTTCCAAATGAAAGAATATATACGGTTTATTTATCAAATATTTTTCTATCTAATTTGTTTTATTTATTTTAGATAATCTTGTAATTTTCCTTCATGATTTCGGATGTAAAACTTCTCTTTTGAAATTTAGTCCGTCCTTAAACAACAAATTAAAGCGGCCTATATTATTTACTTAAAACAGTTTAATTTGAATTATTAAAAATATTGATTTAAAGCTAGTTATAAATTTTGTTGATAGCAAATGTCATTGATAGTAAACGAAATATTGAATTTTAAACTAGCATAACCTTCTACTGTTATAACAGTGAGAAAAGTAATAAACTACACTGCTCCATAAATACTAATAATGGGCTTAGTTTTTTTAAACTTAATTTATTATTTTATTCTTCTTTTGCAAACATTTTCGATTTAAAGCGTTATTACACATTATTTTTATAAACATCTTTGTTTTATGTACAGTGAGGAATAATACGTTATTTAAACCCATATTTTCTTTCAATATTATGTTTTAGAATAGTTTCAATATTATATTTTACTAAAAATATTATTTAAAAAATTAAAGTTCATTACATACTTCTTTTTTTTTAATCTGAGTCAGCGGTAGTGGGCCAATGTCATCCTCTTCTTCATCAGTAGTACTGGGCAATTTTAGAAATTAGTTGCGGTGGATGTAAGGTAGCAGAGCCTGCAAATTATTTTTCTTCGGATCCTGCAAATGTGACGGATCGTGGTCCACAATATAGCATTTCTCGCGAAACTCGGCCAAGATTATGGTCTTTCGGTTTGAGATGGTTTTAGATCGAGGGCTGAAAAATGGACAAAATCCTGGTCTCTTTATAAAAAAAAATGTAAGGATCTTGTCTCCTAAGTCAAATCCACTGCATTTTAAGCAAAGATACTCGTGCCTATCCTATCTACGTATTCTCGTGCCTTCTTGTTAGAACACACATTACAACGGATTTGAACTAATTTTATTTCATATTGACCACATGAAACCTTTTATTCCTCTGGCATGCTGACATAGCTTTAAACCAATCTTAGGTGTATAAATAGCGTTATGTTTTGCATATGATTCAATAGAACCAAAATCAGAGCTGTTTAGCAAAAATGATTGTTCGCTGACCATAAATTTAATAACTGATTAATACTTTTTAATGATAACATAGAACAGAGAGCCTTAAACCTTTCTCAAACTTTGTAACTTTATATCAAATATAATGTAATTATATTAATAGTAAATAAATTGTATTTTTATTTGTATGCATATATTATTTATTGCATGCAATAATTAATATCATAATAATATATTATCAGCCATTCAATCATTGAAAACACCACCTGCAGTAAAATCATTTTATTTTTTATTGCTTAAAAACTTACTTCTCTTGTATGGTTCATAAAATAAAACAATTTTATCTCATAAAAATAAAATTTTATTAATGAGAAGTTCTATACAAAATAACAATATTATTGAAGTTCCTAAATAATTTTATATACAGTGTTATAAATATACAATTTACTCTTTTTAAAAATGTTTTGACATTTTTCTCCCTGTAAGCAAGACTTTTGAATGCAATAAATTGGAGTCTCCTGTAGTAAATAAACTTACAGCATAAACTTACATCTTTTGTACATACAATATTTACCCTTATTTACACAATTAGGTAATTGTTGGAATGGTAAAGGTTTTCAGAAGCTTTTATCATTCTACCTCAAATTAAAGACCGGTCCAGGACTGAAGATATTGGCCCCAACTGGAACTCCCTTCTCCTGAAACAGCCGAAAGTGATTGATTAAATCTGTAATAATTGTTGGTCATGTGTTTTTGACAACCACCTTTAGCAATGGCTTCAAGTTTGTGATGTTCCTCTGGGCTCAGCTTTAATATTGTATCAAGAACTGGGATCAGCCTCCATTTTTCATCGCCTCCTTGCAGTGTGAGAAACTAAAATATAATTATTACTCAATGTTTTAAGAAAACTTCTAATATTTTAACTGCATAAATAAATAAGTAACCAAATACAGATTATTAAAACTTTGTAAGTAATATAATTAAATATTATAAAATTGCTACCTTGAATACAACATTTTTTAAATATTCTGTATTAGCGATATGGGGTTGTCTTTCTAAGCTCCTCTCCAACCTTCTAACTTCCTCCTTCAATATCAAATTTTGGTGAGAATTTCTTGCAGCATCTTTTTCGGCCTCGCTCAACAAAGCTGATAGATGCCTGGTCCTAACCTCGTACGTCCCGAGTTCATTTCTAAGTTTGACCAACTGTTCTTGAAGTACTGGCACTGAAATGAAATTCAAGTTAAACAAATAGATACGTTAGAATTTTTAATCAATTTTAACACACCTCGGTTTTCATCATCGATCGGGTTGTTCAAAAGAACGTCCAAAGGTACAACATTGCTAAGCCTACGGACGACTGAAGTAGGAACACTTTCAGAACCCTAGAGCATTGTTCATTATTATTCAAGTCATTTTCTATCTATTTTAAACTACTGATACCTCGGCATCTTCCCTTTCCTGAAGTACTGCTTCTTCATAGGGCTGGATGTTAAAATCATGTGCAGTTTTAGACTCTAAGAATTCTTTTTCATTTAATTCAAACTTTAAATGGCTCACTGTTTCCTTCAATTGAGCATTTTCTTTCAGGATCATTTCTTGTTTGGATTCATATTGTGACTGAGTAAAAGAAACTTTATTCAAATTTTTGGGTAAAAAATTATTTTCTTGTAATAAACTTAAGCACATCAACAAAGTTTGGTCATTTCTTATCACCCTGCTATTCTTGCTGTTTTGATCTGTCTGCATTCACCATTTTTCATTTTTCAGTGGCAGGTTTGTGGAGGGACAGACCAAATCAGTGATAAGCAGACTAAACAACCCTGTTCACACTTTAATAAGAAATCTTCCAATTTAAGTTGAATAATATTAACAATTAAAATCATAAGTGCACTGAGTGGAGTAATACTATTGATGTTAATCAACTGGCAAAATGATGTTAAAAAAAAATAATACCTTGAGATTGTGTAAGACAGTATCTGTCGACAGTTTAAAAGCTTTGTATTCTGTCATTAAAGTGTCATAGTCAGTTATCTTCTGATGCAAAACTTTCGTTACATCATCATACTTTTTCTCGCTTTTATTTTTTTCTGATTGGAGCGATGAAATCCTGTTGTTCTGTGAATCTACTTCTAACCTGTAAATTATAATATTGTAAACTGCCTAGTATAAAATGCAAATAAGCAAGCATACAAAGTGGTTTCAAGCTTTTCACGAATGGCGTCGAGTTCGGTTTTCAGTTTATCGATTAGTTCTCTCGCTTCTTTCTCCCCTTGAGAAACAGAATCGCCTTTCTGTTTGGCGAGTGTGCTCTGAGCTCGTATTCTGTAGCTGTCAAACTCTTCCCTTAAATGCTCGATCTCTAATTTAGCAGTTCCTAATTCTTGCTTAGTAGAGGCCAAATTTGTTTCAAGGCTTTGCACCTGAACAAAATTTGTTAAAAAAAAAAAAAAAAAAAAAAAAAAACTTTTTGTGAACTCACGTGGGCCCTTAGTGAAACAATTTTATTCTGCATGTCTAACTCCTTCCTCGCATATTCTGCAGTGATGTTGGACATTTCTAGAGTTGTTTGTTCGCTGTTGTTTTTAGCAGTATTTAACTCTCGTTTTAAATCGGCAACCTGTGCCTGCAGACTTTCCATGTCAGAATTTATGTTAACGTTTTTCTCCTTTGAAGACGCCAATTGTTTCTAATTTTTAGATCATTTAAAAAAATAAAAAATAACTTGTTTGAACCAAAGCATGTAATATCTTGCTGTATAGTACCTTCATATTTTCTATTATCTCCTCTCCTGATTTTATTTGATTTTCAAGCATTTGAATCTGTTCCTGTAAACTTTTCTTGGTGCTTATAAGTGAGGAATTCTCTTCAGCCAAATTTGAAAATTTTACTTTTTCTGAATTTAATTGTGATGTCATGTCTGCACATAGCTTCTAAAAAAATGTAAAACTTTTATTAAAAAAAGTGATTCCTATTACCAGTAAACGTTGCAATTACTTCATAATTTTTAATTTCCAACTCCAACACGTTGTTACTTTTCCCTTGTCGGACTGCTTGTTCGAGTGAGGCCGTGAGTTCCTGCACTTTGCTTTCCTGTTGTTGAACTTGTTTTTTTAATTCTTCGTATTTCATTACTTCAACTTTCTTTTCCATCTCGATCCTCTGTGCTTCATTTTTGGCTTCTTTTAGAGCAACGTTGAGGCTAAAATTTCATATCATTTGAATTTACACTTTTACTTAAAACTTTTTTCATATTTACCTATCAATTTGTTTTTTCATAATTGGCAGATGCTGATTTGAAGTTTCCAATGTGCTAACCTGAGTTTTAAGAGCCTCTTCATTCTTTAAAACTTCTGTTAAAGAATTTGTCAAATTGGTCTTCTCCTTTTTCAACACCTCAAGTTCATCAAGAGCTAAGTCAAAGGATTCTTGTACTTTCTGAAATTAAAATAATTATTATTCGTGGGTAATGACTTTTTTACATTAATATACTTAGTATGGTGAAGTTACACGGTAAAAAAAAGTACGAAGTACTTCAAGTTAGAATTCTTAAATTATTAAGCCACTGCCTCCTCTCAAAGTATTATTGAGGCAGTCAGTAGTCAGGAAAATAATTATGCTGTTAAGAATATACTTTCAACACTTACTTGAACATTTTTTGCCGCTGTAGATAAATGTTGGATTTTTTCTAACAATTCCGATTTTTCAGAATTAAATTTCACCCTTTCAGATTCCAGCTGCTGGTTTGTTTCCAGCAGGCGTTTTTTTAATTTGAGAGCAACCATTTTTAGCTAGAACATAAGAGAAAAAATATATAAATGTGTATAAAAGAAACCATGCTGGGTTGTCAATAAAATTTAGATACATGTATGATATATATAAGTAATTATATAATTTTTATTATACCACAATAGTCAGCGAAAGCTCAATGATAGTAGATATCATGTTTTTATTTTAAGAGTTTCAATTACTAGTTTAGTTAGTATTTAACCTTTGAACAGTGAAGAGTATGTCTTTAATCCATTACTCTTTTATTTTCCTGATTATATAGGGATTTTTAGGTTTTTTCTTTTGTTCATACACAGGGTGAATCAGTTTTCAACCCACCACAGGGAAAACCGCCTGGTGGTGACTTCCCAATGAAAGGGATACAGCATTTAAAAAAAGTGGTTTTCGTAGCAAGTGAGCATCAAGAGATTCGCCATATGGATTTCGAAAAGCAAAAATTGAGTTAATTGTGCTTTCCATATGATAAAATTTTATGTGGTATTACTGTATTAAAAAAAATGAAAGTATCTGAGCAAAATAAAGTGTTAAATATTTTGAACAAACTTCTCCTAGAAAGCATCCTGCTTAATGAGAAGAAGGAAGGAAGGAAAGCCTGTCTATGAGAATATAACTTTCCACATGTTTCTATTGGTTTGCCAAGAAAATATTGCAGGATTTCATGTTTTCTTTCAAATTTACTCCTCTGCATAATAAACTTTTTATGTTTGATGGATAATTCTTTTATTCGAATGTCAATACTTTTTAATCCTCTTTCAAACAAAAATGTTTACCTCAGTAGCTTTTTATTGAGTGGGAAAATTCAGTCTAAGATGTCAAAGCATGATTTTCACGTAATTTTGTTTTACAAGTTTAAATTCAGTAGCAACATGGCTCAAACAGCCAGAAACATTAATGAAGTCTGGGGCGATGGCAGTGTGAGTGAGAGCACTGTTCAGAGACGGTTTAAAAAGTTTTGAAAGGAAGAATTTAGCCTTGAAAACAAAGAAGTTTGTGGCAGAATTTTTTCCCTAGATGATGTTCTATGAGCTTTCGAAGAAAATCCCTGAGGAACTTTTCAAAAACTTGTAGAGAATCTTCCAGTTAGCACATCAAATTTCGCTGACCACCTTAAAGCAATTAGAAAGGTGAAAAAGCTCGAAAGTTGGGTTCTTCATGCATTTAATGATAATCAAAAGAATCATTGTTATCAAGTTTGTGCAACATTTCTTTGCCAAAACAGAAACAAACTTTTCTGGATAGAATTGTTACTTGTGATAAAAAGTGGATAACAGCTGACATTGTGGAAGTGGCTTGACAAAGAAGAAGCAGCACTACATTTTCCGAAGCCCCAAACTCATCAAAAAAAGGTGATGGTGACTCTTTCATCAGTTTCATTAGGGCTGATTTACTACAGCTTCTTGAATACTGTTGAAACAATCAATGCTGAAACGTATTGCCATCACAATGAAGCAATGCACGAGAAATTGGCATTATTGAAGCTATCTGTTCAATCGAAAATGGCCGATTCTGTTACACAACAATGCTCAGCTCCATGTTTCACATGTGACAACACGAAAACTGTTGGATCTTGGTTATGAGGTTCTGCTTCGCCCTCCATATTCTCCAGACCTCTTCCCCATTTTTTTAAGCCACCTGGACGTTTTCAACTTAAAAAAATTATTGATCAAAAGTCGTTCGAAAATGCGTTTATATAATTTGTTAATAATAAAGACTCAAAATTATATTCAGAGGGTATAGAGAACTTGCCATCACATTGGGAGAAGTATATTGATTAATGATTTTAATTAATAAAAAATGATTAAAAAAGTATATTGATTAAAACTGGATACACTTATTTCTTTTGGAACAAATGGACACATTCTGACCTTTATTAGTACAGATACTCTTAATTCACTGCACAGTAGAGTTCACTGCAATGATACTCTTTCTAATCTGTATCAACAGGAAAATAGTGTGCCCCAGGGCTGTTTTCTGAGCATTATTCATTTCCTTTTATGCCTTACACTAATTAAATTACCAGAAACATGTTATATACAGATGATGTAATTTTTTTGGAGTGGTAAATATTTACATGATCTGCAATAAAGTATCTCAGAACTCTCTGGATAAGACTAGAAATTGCACATTAAATTTAAAAATTTCAAATTGAAGATTTAAATTTAAGTTAATTCCTAACAAAAAATTATTGTACATCCCTGAAAATGAAAACAGAAGATATAACCCCATCCCTCTCCCCAACAAATCTTAATAAATGTGATACTTTATTGTTAAATATTATTGATTTTTTTGTGGGCAAAAAAGGTGTGTCTCTTGAAATATAATATAGTAGAAAATGTGTGGTGATTAGTGACCATTGGTCGATGATTATTCGGAAATCGTGAGACTGCATCTCATGATTTCTGAATAATCATAATAGAAAATGTTATAACTTACTTTTCAATTAAGGTTTTGGCTGAGATAAAAAAGTCAGTATCACAAGCGGGATTCGAACCCACGACCTTCGGCTAAATACGCCGCTGCTCTACCACTTGAGCTATCTGACTTCAATCCACTCAGACTCTACTTCCCATCTCAACCCCACTTTTTGAATTTTCCCTCCTTTTTGCCATTTTTCAACCATTTTATCTCAACCAAAACCTTAATTAATTGAAAAGTATTTATTTGGTCAAGCGGACCACGAAACCTAATAAAAAGTTTAACTTACTTTTACATATTTCTCTTCAAAACTTTCTTCCAAGTCCCTTAATCGAATAGTGTCCTCAGTCTTGCTGATTGTACTTGTACTTAATACATCAACATCTATAAAAAATCGTTAATTTTAAATTTAATTAAATTTTTGGCTGATAATTCAATGAGGACAAAATTTACCTGCAGTAGGCTCCTTCATTTCCTTGGCTTTCAATAGCTCTCCCTCTAATTCTTTAATCTGGTGTTCTTTACCTTCCACAAGTGATTCCTTTTCCTTTATCTGACCCCGAAGACTGATGCACTCTTTTCTAAGCTCTTCATGTTTCATCCCTTCTTCCTTAAGGGCCTCTTGCAGGTGTGAAATCACCTCACCTCGCTCTTTCAAAGCCTAAAATGGTATACAAATTAGTACAAGTATTGTACATTATTTTATTATATTTATTGCAATGCGTACATTGAATATTGTTTTAAGATTGTAAACAAAAAAAGGGGGGGGTAAATTTTATTCTGAACCATGTAGCGATTCTTAGAAATAACTTTTCCTACATTTAATATCAATTGGTTAAAATTATATTTTTGTAATGCTCTAAAGAAAACTGTTAAGGCCTTAAACAAAATATGTTTACAAAAAGTAAAAACAAACAAAAAATAAATAAATAAGTAAATAAAAGACTTCTCTAAAAGCCGACTAAATTAATTTCAGCTGATTATATTCAAAAAGTGCAGCTGAAATTACTGGGGAGTAGTATGAACTTTTAAAAACAAGATATTTTTATAAAGTCGGTTTACAAAGATTTTAGTTTTTAACAAATTAAACATTTTAAGGGGTAGAGGACCGCTGTAGCCCAGTGGTTAGCCTGATAGACTCTCGGCTTGTAGACCCCACGAATGTAGGTTAAATTCCCCTTTTTTCACAATTCCCTTCCTCTCAACTACACTAAAGCAAACACCTACTCAACTACATACTCTGGCTAATATATGAGTTCATGATGCCTTTAAAAAAATAAAAACAATCTCTGAAGAGGGCTCAAAATTATATAGAAACAAATTTAAGATTAATTACATTTCAATTTAATAAAATCTATCTGTTGTAACATTTAATTTCTAATTCTAAAAAATCTGAGCAAAGTCCCAAACATTTCCAAACGAATAAACTTAATCTGTCCTAATAAGCAATAATCCATTAGCTTTCAACATATTTCTAAAGTCGATAAATGTTTCTTTTTGATTATCTTCAACCATGAAAATTTAGAGGATGAGAAGATGATGGAGCTGAAAGAGTGGATGCGGGCGCGCGGCAGGGACCTGGTCCTGGTCGGCCGATCCCGCTCGACAGTAAAATGAAAATAGAAAACTACATGGGTAATATGCCAGCGTAAACCCAAAAAACATTTAATTTATACAATCAAATTAAATTTAAATAATACCAATTAAGTTAATTTCAGATTAAAATAGTCTTAAGAGTGAAAAATGAATATATTTTTATATAATTTGTAGTTAAATTAAGTTTTCTACTGCCTTCTTTACTGAATTGTCTCAATTTACTTTTGCAAATATTGGTTTCAAATTTATTTACCTCACGAATGATTCAATACATACACTTGTTAAATGATAAAAAATATTGATTGCTAAAATTTTTACATTAACTTGTTCAAAAAAATGTGTAGAACTATGGATTGAATGGTCAAACTAGAATTTTTGATTTATGCGGTTGTAAATGTTTCCAAATGTTCAATATACAAAGTAACATAGTACTGAACATGAAAAAATGAATCTAAACAAGAACAACAAACAACAAAACATGAAAAATGAATCTTGAATGTAACATAGTACTGAAGTGGAAGAAATTCAAATTAATTAAAATTTGTAATGTTATAATTTTCTATTGAAAAGTTAAATTGACTAACCTCATTCATACATTGCATTTCATCTAGAAGCTCATGTTTTGTGTTGGCAGCTTCATTTTGTAAAACTTTCTTAACTTTTTCCTATAAACAAAATTGTACATAAATTTAAGTGAAGAAGACATTAGGAAAAAAAAAATACACGCATAAGAATAACTTTAAACTCACTTTAATTTCTGATTGTAGCGAAGAAAGTCTATCAGAAAATGTCTGCTGCAACGTATAAGACATGTTTGCCATTTCTTTTGCGTTTTTCTGTACTCCCCTGAGTCCAACTTTGATAGTCTTGAGCCTTCCAGCCCAAATTTTGTTTATTTCATCAAGTTCCAATGTTTTAAAATTGAGTAATTCCTTGCACTCGTTTATCTCTTCTCTGAGTTTGTTCAGTTCATTTTTCTTAATTGAAAGTGTTGCTTTGTGCTCTAAAGAGATCTGTTCTATATGCGATGTCATAGCCGATACCTGCTGGTTCAATTCTTTGTTAAGCTCTTCATATTCTTGGCATTTTTCTGTTAATGAAGAAATAGTAATTTCAAGGTTGCTGATGTCCTGTTGATGATCTTGAACATCATTCATTTCCTTGTCAGCCTGGACCTGCAGCTTACTGTTTAAATCATTTAAGTGTTGTTCTTTTTTGTTCAAGGTTTGAATTAAGTTTTGGTTTTCTTCCATCAGTTTTGTCTCAGTTTCTACCTTCTTGATTAATTCGTTGTTCATAACATTGGCTTGCTGTTCTACCAGAGATAGTTGATTGTAAGCAGATTCTACTTCACACTTACAATTCATCATTTTGGACATTAGCTCTTCTTGAAAAATTCTACTCTTCTCCAATTTTGTTTTAATATCTTCTGAATTCATCGTGCACTCCTCAAGTTGAATATCTTTTTGTTTTAGAAGTTCGGTGTATTTATTTAAATTTGCATTTTCTTTTTGATACTGAGCGACTTCAGCTTTAATTTTTTCATAATCATTTTTTACTGATTCAAGCTCAGCCACTAATTTTAATTTCTCTTGGTTCACCATTTCGATTGTATTTTGGAATTCTTCACAAATTCCTCTGGCTTCTGCCAGCTGGTTGCTCAGCTTTTCAATCTCGTTTTCTTTCAATACAATCTGAGCACTGAACTCTTTAGAATTCTCGCTTAAGTCTTTTAAATCTGCACTTAATTTGCTGTGCTCGTTATTGCTGAGCACTAATTCTTCTTCGTAAGACTTACATTTTATTTGCAATTCTTTAAGTTCGGCAATTGAACATGCTTTGTCTTGTTCCAGTTGAGCTAATGTCATTTCTAAATCATGACACTTTTGTTTCAAATTGGAATAATTGGAAGTTATAGAATTTTTTTCACTTACATGCAAAGATACGAGTTCTTGTTTTTCTTTCTCAAAAGTGAGATATTTATTTTCATAAGTCTGACATTTTAACTTCATATCATTTAATTCAACTTTTAGCTCCTCCATTCCATTCTTTTCGTATGAATTTAGCTTTTCAAGCTCTTCGTATTTAGCCTTTACTTCTGTTAATTGTACTGATAGCTTTTCTTTTTCATTTTTATACTTATTTTCATTTTCCTCTATTGTTTTTTGCAAAATGTTTACTTGCTTCTGAAGTTTTTCGCTGGCTTCCTTGAATTTTTCAATTTCTTTATCTCGTGCCGTGCACCTGTTTTCCAAATCGTTTAACTGAGAATTTAACATTTCTTTGACACTTTTCAATTCTGCCACTTGGGATTGATAATTTTTACATTCCACCTCAAACTCTACCAACCGTCCCTTCTGATCATTTATCTCAGTATTTTTAGCTTTATTCTCTTCTTTCAGAATATTGATTTTACTCGTCAACTCATTATTGGCACTTTCACAGTTGACGATGTGATTTTGAAAACAATTATTTTTCTCCTGGAGGGAATTTAATTGAGATAATAAATTCTCTTGAGTTTTTTGTGCATTTTGGGCATCTTCTTCATATTTTTTATTCTTGACTTTAAAATCAGACAGTTCTTTCTCATATTCTTTCTTCAAATTATCAAATGTTTCCATTTCTTTTTTGTGCTGTTCTAGTTGATTTTCATAATGCTTACACTTGTTATTGGCTGCTTCTAGAGCCAATTTAAATTTCTCAAGATGGCCTTCTTGTTCCTTGATCAACATCATGTTTTGACTACATTCTGATTTTAATATAGCCAACTCTTCTTGGGTTTTAATGACTTTTTCATTAGCACTGAATAGTTCATTTTCACACCCATTACATTTATCATCTAGAACACGTAGCGCTCCCTCCAGTCTGTCTTTTTCACCTTCAAGCTTTATCGATTCTTCCTTCAACTTTTTACATTGCTCCAACAGTTTAGCATTGTCCTGTTCTCTGATTGATGTTTCTTGCAAAGATTCTTTAAGAGAATTTAACTGAAGAACAAGTTTTTGACTCTCATCTTCTTTAGAAAGAACAATATTAAACATTGCCAAAATTAGTTCGATAAATTCAGCCTTAAAATTGGCATTAACACCTTCTACTCGATCAAAAGCTTCATCTGGAAACTTTGTATCAATCTGACTTATAAATTGCTCAGCTGTGTTTGCACATAACTTCTTGTTATTTATGAATTCCATAAATGTATCAAAGCTGACTTTAGTGAAATCATTAATTGTTTTAATGAGATTGATCACTTTTTCATTAGTACATTGCAGGTTGGCATTTGTCTTTACAATATCACTGAATTCTTTGTTTAAAGTTTCTAGATCTTGCCTTGCCTTTGTAAGCTCTTCGTTACATTTCCTGTAGTTTTCTTTTTGATCCTCATAAGATTCCATTAATGTATGGTCTTGTAGTTTCTCCTCATACAATTGAATATTGGCCTTGAGATTGTTGTTTTCCTGTTGTGATAATTTCAACTTTTGCATAGTTGTCTCAATTTCACTCTTCAAATTACCAACAACAGAATTAAATTCAATCTCTGCTTTATCTTTCTCCAATTTTAGTTTTTCGATTTCTTTATTAAGTTGTTCGGAGTTGTCTATTAATTGTCTTGTTTCTATCCTGACCTCTTCGAGGTTCCGAACTATCTTGTCGTGATCAGCTTTAGTACTGTTAAGCTCAGCTATAAGTTTTGCAACTTTCTCTGATTCCATATTGTTCAAGTCTTCAGAACTTTTAGACATTGAAAAATTACTTAGCGAGTCCATAAGAGAATCAAAGTCATCGACATCTGTGTTAAACTTTTGCGAATACGTTTTGAAAAAATTGCTGTGTTTTTCTTCTATTTTCTTTAATCTGTTTGTAGTCTCTTCGAGAGCTTTTTCCAAACACTGCTTTTCTACTTTCCCTTCAGAACAATAATGAACCATTTTTTCATGGTTTTCATGAAGCTTTCTTATGTCTTCTTGCATCTGAGCTTCTGATAAAACAAAAAGCATCATTTAGAAGTTAAAACTGATAAAATTATATACCCTATTTATCAACCAATTATAATTTTTTTAGCTAAATTTTTAAAGCTTACCAGATTTTTGTTGACTCTCTAGAGCAAGCAATAGTTCATTATTTTCTTTTGAGACTTTTTGAAGTTGTTGCTTATAGTTTTCCATTTCAGCTTCACATTTTTGTTTGACAGAATATAGAACTTTAACTTCCCCTGCTGTTTTCATTCTTTCCTTCTTCATATCATCAATCTGAGGACAATATAAAAAAGATAAAATGAACGAAATTTGCAATAAAAAAAAAAAAAAAAAAAAACTGATAATTATTAAATACCTCCATTGCCAGTTTGAGCTTCTGGTCTGTAAGGGCAGCAAGCATCTCTTCAGCAGTCTTGTATTGCTTGGTGGTAGATGAAAGCTAAAAACAACAAACATTAAAATTATTATAAAAATTAAAAATACAAAAAAATAAAAATTTTTTTTTAACAATAAATAAATAAATAATAAAATACACTTACCAAGCCATTAATTCGATCCAATTCTGCCCTTAAATTATTATTTTCTGCTTGTGCCTCTGTAAACAAACATTTTTCATGAAGTGTAAAAGTACATATTAGATAAATCAATGTATTACATAATGATTTATGTTTTTTAATTTTATATAATAAAATAAATAAATATTTGATGTATTTATTAAAAGACAAAAAAATTAAGAAGAAATCATTAAATTAAATTATATTGCTGAAAATTTGTCTTGAAAGCTTAATTTATTTAAATAAAGATTCCAAATATAAAGTTTAGATTTTTTGAGTCATGGCTTTCCAGCTTTGCCAATGAAACTGGATTGTAATATTTTGACACCAAAATTGGATGCTAAGTTACACTGTATAGAAGTATTAAATTTTGTAGTTATAATTGGTAGTATTTTTAAATAAACTTTTCTAACTAAATAAACTTGTTTTTTAAATAAATTTTCCTGCTTTATTTTTATATTTAATTTTTGGACATTTCGGTAATTTACATCCGTCAATTGGCAACTGTTATAAGATATCCTTTTCCATTTTTTGATTCTTGGTTACCTTGGAAAAAATCTTTTTTTTTTTCTTCAGATTATTCCTTTGTATTTAACGTTTTTATACTAAAATTACATGAAGAACTAATATAAGGAGTTAGCAAAATGCAAAAAGACTAAATCAAACTGAATAATGGGCTTAGTGATCTACTCTCTTGTTGTAAATACAGGCTTAGGGTCTCTGAAAAATGAACACAAATAATTTTATCACTGAGCTCTCATTGCAATTAATAAAAGCCTATATTTCTGAGGGTACACCTGAGTTCAAACCCTGGAAGACCTTAAGGGATGTGGACGGGGGCTTAGACCTTGTGTGCCATCCACATTAATTTTGTTTAATATGTAAATTATCTGTAGGTTAAGCAAGTGTGGCTGATTTGATAGATGATGAACAAGTCTTGTGAATCACTGATGTGTTAACTTACCATCTTTAGAAGTTTTGGCCTTCTGTGCGATAGAAAGCAAGTTTTTACACTTGACAAGAAGCTGCTCTTTTGTTAGCTCACCATTGCTACCCTCTGCATTTGGAGGAGCTTGGGTCTGAAAAATGTAAAAATACATATGCTTAACAACTCATATTTTTCTTGGCATATCTGAATACGGTTTGTAATTTATATCTAAAAACAGCCTAGTTTACCACTAAAATGAATTTCAATAATGTCATTGTATATAAATGTATATTAAGGTATACAGTATTTAAATATATATATCTTTGTATGTATAGATGTATTGTGATTGATTTTGATTTTGGTCATATTAATGGAAAATTTTATTTTTTAAAGTACATATAATTTTGATCAATGAATTCCGCACATCAATCATTCCTAAATATATTCGGAATGCAATTATTTTACAGTTTTTAATAGAAGTTTGTACTCTTCCTTTTTTGGTTGGCTGTTTTTTCTTTTACAAGAGATTATTTACATTGCAACATAATTTATAATGTATCTTGGTTTTGGTTTTTACTGAATTGTTTTTATTTAATGTAATAAATAATATTTTATATTGGGGCGTCGGTGGCCGCAACAGTTTAGGCATTGACACGGTGCTCATCAATGTAAGGTAAAGGCCCTGGGTTCGAATCCAGCGGCCCTGCATTCGAAAAAAAAAACTGCATGGAAAAAAAATTATATATTAAGTGTAGCCCAGAAGAGTGGATCCAGATTGGCCCTGAAATGTATTGTACCAATAAATAAATAGCTATTTATTTATCTGAATCTATCAGCAAAGAAGTGTGTAAGATGATGATGATGGATAGTAGGAAGTGCTTTTGTTCCCCAAGCCCTGTAGCCTTCTGGCTTTTTATACATTTTTAATTCCTTAGTTCAACTTGATCCTTCTAAGAAATGCTAGGTTATTGACTGTTGTTCATTGAGCAGTGCTTTGCATTCGAAGATATGGGTCACAGTTTCTTCCTCCTCAAAGAACCAAAAAATGGGGCAATTATTGAACATGCCCATGCTGTGGAGATGTTCTCAGATGCCAGTGACCAGTAACCACTCCTCTGATTTTAGCCCTCTCTAACTTAGCAGTAAGTTGGCCAATCAGTTTTAGAAAAAGCTTACTTTATCAAGCAATTTTTGAGTTTATCCACTTCTCCTTTTGCTTTTTTTTTTTATTCATTCTGTGATGTAAGATTTTGTAATCCAAAGAATAGGTTCAGAGCCTATATATATCGACTTGCAGATCCTCCTCTGGCCAGTGTGTCTACCTTCGTATTACTCAAAATTCCTGGTACCAAAGATATCTTCAGGTTGTTCTCCAGGTTTTGGAGATTTTGTTTGTGTTCACTGACTAATTTTGATGTGAATTTTTAAGTGTTTATGAGATACCAAAGAAATAAGCCATATCCCATTCATAATTTTGAATTTTATTTGCTATTTTATTGAGTACAGTACTGATAGATATCTCATTTTGTGTTTACTGAAACTGAATGTATTTATTAGTATGAGTATGTATAGGGCAAAAGGGCTGGTGATAGAATATTGAGTATCCCATTGACCCTCCATTAGATTATTTATATAGTTGTAAAGGGTGATGGAGGAATATAGAGTACTCAACAGCCCTACTTGAGTGAATGGATAGGAAAGAATGTATTTAAGAATGAATGAGAGTGTGCGACTACCTAGCTTTAAAAATTGCATATGTTAGAGGCTGAAATGACCTTGCTGTTGACAGCCCTTGTAGTCTAATTTGGGTGTTAGAATAAATGACCAAGGTTTGACCCCAGATGCCAGATCCAAAGTGGGTGATTGCTATGAAACGTCCTAAGCTAAATTCTGTACGTGTATACGTATGTACATGTATGTGGAGAATTGAGCTTATATATCAATCAATTGATCAAGTGTATTAAAAATCAGGGATCAAACCAAGTGGAAAGGTAACCCTCAGTTCTTTACAGTGCTCAACAATAAAATTGTAATATTGAAAGCTGATATTAATTGAGATAAGTTGGATTTGTATGGAAAGACAGTTTTGGTACACACTGATGGACAAAATTAACGCAAATGATACTATATGTTCTTTGATTATGTCTTGTAAGTAGTTTTGTGAAGTTTGAGATCTTCCTCACACAACAACCAATTCGATTCAAGCGTCCAAGGAGATGCGACCCCAGTACATCAATGACCCACTATGGAATGCCAACTGAAAAACCATATAGCATGGGGCGTTCCTTTCTCCTGGGCATCTCTATATGAAATTACCACCAACTGAAGGTAGGATTTGAGGCCAACTCTCACCTCATCTGTAAAGGGAACTCGTCCCCAATCTTCCAATGTACAATTCACATGTTTCCGTGTGGATTGAAGCCTGGCCATTTTCTGAGCTGTGGTAAGAGAGCCCACAAGTTGGGTAGGATTAAGCAGTACAAAAGTAAACAAAAGAAATAAACAAAGCATTATTTATTCTTTATTTTGACTACAATAGCTCCTAATTACCTGCAACTAATGTAGAAATATGGTGGATTTAATTTTAAAATAAATAAATTGAGTTGTGCATTAAATTTGTCCATCAATGTATACGTATAATTTCATACGTAATTCAATCATAAAATATATAAAGCAGGAGTGTGCCATATTGCGTTCATGCAGCGCTCTGATTTAAACTGCAAGACATGCAAGTCAGCGTGGTTTTTGCGTTTGAGTCTACATAAACTGTGATATGTGATATGGATGTTTTATTTCAACAAACTTTCATTCGATGGGGTTAGGTCAAATGTTTTTCAAGACTGAGGCAGTTCTATTAAATTTTTCACTTCTACAGAGTTGAGAATGATTGGTTTTGAATGTGACAAGAAAGGTTTTGAAATACATCGCAAAATCTTGGACATAATATAATTGAACAGCTAATGTAATTTTTTAACTTTACAGACTGACTCTTTACGATTTAAGACTAAGTAACTGATACTTTGTGACTTACGTAACTGACATCCCTACAGAAAACATATTTATTCCACATCAACGTTTTTAAGAATGTCAAAAATCTTCAGCTCATTTTTCAATACTTTCTGGGCGATAATTTGTTTAATTTAGAATAATTCACATAAACCTACTTTGTTCTTTTCAGCCGGCGACTGCATCAAGAAGCGAGATGAATATCAGCTCGAGTAAATTGAAATAAAACTGATTAATTTATAACTATTGTAAACAATAAAAATCATAACACTGACAGCCACATCTTAATCAACTGTTTTTCTGTCAGGTGCAACATAACCTTACTGCGTAAAGTGTAAACGGGAGCATTTCAGTGTTATCAATAGGGGAAAATGATTACAATGATCATGATGTCCGTTCATGATTTTTCAAAAATAACCTTTCAGTCGCTCTTTTTTTATCTACCAAAAATATTCTTGAAAAAAGTGCTCAATTTAATTTAAAAAAACAATAACCCAGCGGAACCTAATTGAACTCCCCCTCACCGAAAATTGCGTAACACAGCGCAAATCAAAATGTTTAAAAATCTTTAGTTTTGGTGAACAAATCCGTCTATACTTAAAAAATTTTAACATTTTCTATTAATGAAAAATGTAAATAATCATTAGCATTGTTTCATAAATGACTTACCAGAAATGATCGATCATAAACTATGATGCCTTATGATAATCACCAATTTTAGCAACTAAAAATTTAAAAATGAACTAATAAAAAAGAAAAGAAACCTGGAATATTAATTAATATCTAATAATTAACCCCAAATAAAAAAAATATTAATTTCAATTTTAGTAAGTAGGCTACTACTACCTAAAAAAATTACTTAAAAAATAAAATAAATATAAGAATTATCGTTTAAAAAATGTTTCTGTATGAGTGTAAAATTATTTTATGTTAATTTAAATCTGGTTATAAACATTAATGATTTTGAATGTGGATTTATATAAACTGAAATCTGGACATGTATGTACACATGTATAGAGTTGAGCCTACCACTTCTCGCAGTCCATTGACAATTCCAGATTTTGAGTAATTTACAATAAATTATCGAAGATGAATTTTCTTCGAATATCTAGGGGATTCTTCCAGGATTCGTTTAATAAAACGTCGATAGGTGTGGGTTGGAGGTACCCTAGGCATTGACGAATACATTTACAATGACAGGCAAAAACTCAGCCCACGTGTAATGTAATTTGATTTGTATATAATTTTATATATTAATCAAAGTTTCACGTTTCTTTAACGTGTTACAATTGAGTCTTTGTTTAGAAAAGTAAAAACAAAAAATGTAAATTGCTAAGGAAAATGAAAAATAAAATAAAAGTTTAAAAAATGACGGACATATAAAATTCGTTTTAATTTTGTTTTAGATTTCTAATTAACATTTCAATATCGCGTATTTTCTCCTCTTNAAATAAAATAAATATAAGAATTATTGTTTAAAAAATGTTTCTGTATGAGTGTAAAATTATTTTATGTTAATTTAAATCTGGTTATAAACATTAATAATTTTGAATGTGGATTTATATAAGCTGAAATCTGGACACATATACACATGTATAGAGTTGAGCCTACCACTTCTCGCACTCCACTGACAATTCCAGTTTTTGGGTAATTTACAATAAATTATCGGAGATGAATTTTCTTCGAATATCTAAGGGATTCTTCCGGGATTTGTTTAATAAAACGTCGATAGGTGTGGGTTGGAGATGCCCTAGGCATTGATGAATACATTTACAATGACAGGCAAAAATCTCCGCCCATATGTAATATAATTTGATTTGTATATAATTTTATATATTAATCAAAGTTTCTTTAACGTTTTATAATTGAGTCTTTGTCTAGAAAAGTAAAAACAAAAAATGTAAATTGCTAAGGAAAATGAAAAATAAAATAATTTAAAAAATGACGGACAAATAAAATTCGTTTTAATTTTGTTTTAGATTTCTAATTAACATTTCAATATCGCGTATTTTCTCCTCTTGCCTTAATAACATCTCGAACACGCGTCGGGATACTTTCTACCATGAAGGACGTGCTCTTATTCATATTTTGAGGTTATCCCATAAATGTTCGGTTGGGTTCAAGTCTGGAGAACAGGCTGGCCAGGCTAAGACCCTGATGTTATGCTGTTTCTGGTACGTTTGTACTATGTGAGCGAATGTGGACGAGCATTATCGTGCATTAGAATAGCATTGTCGCTGATAGGCAACGCACGATGTTCCAAAATTTCATCCACATAGTGAGTGACCGTCAAAGACCCTCCAAGAACAACAACCAACTCTGTGCGATTCTCCATTGAAAGTCCTGCCCACACCATCACTTATCTACGTTGAAAGTTGGATCTGGGAAAATTTACAAGATTCGTACCTTTCATTTCGCCTTCTCTACACTCTTTCAGATCTACATTACATTGTAAAAAGTACAGCAGACCAATCGTCTAAAGACCAAATGGCTGTGTCTCGAGCAAATGCGAGCCGTGCAAATCCGTGTGTTCTGGAAATTTCGGTCTTCTTACGGGGCGAAAAGCCATCAGTCCATACTGATATAATCTTCTTCGAGCAGTGCGTTCAGAAATTTGGACACCTCGAACTTCCGGAGCTGATGAATCGCTTGAACAACAGTAAGGTGCCGGTTTCGCGAAATACTCAATGTCAAAAAACGGTCCTGTGGTCTGTTACCCTAGGGCATCCAGAACCGGGCGTTCTATCGCAGGACCCAGTTTCTCGAAAAATGTGTAACGGCGTATCGCAGTTTTTCGTATGGAAATCCGATGGCAATAGCCACATACCTGACGGAACGACCATCATCAATAAGAACCACACCAAGCGCAACATCCTTAGCACTAAGTAGCATTTGTATGTTCAAAAACTGAAAGTAAGAAAACAAAGACGAAAACAAACAGTTTATTGCTTCACAATTCAAATGAGACTGAATAAACATTTTAAATTCCGTAAAAATTATACATTGAAAAATCCTTTATCCTTGTTTTGGATTAAGGATTCAGCGTGTTTACTTCTAATTGATATTCCCAATTTCGGGAAACAGTACAAGGACCTTTGCCCTTGTGGAATCTCGTTCCACTAATTGCATTGTCTATCTAATAATTCGGTTACTTTTGGAATAAAAAATAAATTATCGGCAGGACACGAGAATCACCCACCTCGGGTGTTGGCAATCAAGGGTCCAGACCTCGGAAATAACGCACAATTACAAGAAAAACGAAACTCAACAAAAAGAAAATTTTACAGAAGAAACAAATGGAAGTTTACTTTTTGACTTATGCATTAAGTACACGCCATTGTTGGCAATAAAAATTGCCATGATCAATCAGTATTGTCTTTCCTTTCTCCAAGACTTAAGCGAAAACAAAAACATTAAAACTTTAAAAATCCAGCTGCAGTACCCCTAAAAAACTACCCCTTTTTGTGTTGTGACACTTTTCTTGCATTTATTGGCTCTCAGTAATTTACGTTGTTTGCTCTAACGATAATAGAGGTCAATGAATGACTGTATGGGTATTAATTTTTTTGTGATTGTAACAGACAACATACAACCTAGCAAACGAGCATATAATATCCATGTAGTAAGATTTACTGAGATTATTTTTGGCCCAAATGTGCTATCCTCATGGAGTCAGGACTAATTAACTATTTAAAATACAAAAAAATATTAAAATAAAGATTTTATTGATTATTAAAAATAATGTAATTAAATATTAAAAACATCACACGACACGGCACTCTCAACACGATACGCAAGAATGGCACAATTACACAGAAGACAAACACTTTGAGCCCCGAAGATGATCTCAATAAAGATTGAAACGTTGGCATGATAAAGAAAATGTTTTTCTGAAACCTACATCACACCAGACCGCATCTCACGATTTCTGAATAATTATTAAAAACATCATTGAAGCTATAAAATAATGTGAAAGTTAAATGATAACTTGAAAAATGGCAAAAAGAAGAGAAAACTCATAAGGTGTGGTTGAGGTGGGAAGTTAGTGTCCGAGTGGATCGAGGTCACGATAGCTCAAGTGGGAGAGCAGCGGCGTATCAAGCCGAAGATCGTGGGTTCGAATCCCGCTCGTGCCATTGACTTTTTTACCCAAACTTTATAAACAAAAAACCTTAATAAATTGTAATATATTAATTGGTCAATCGGACCACGAAATTAGTGAATTTAAGTAATTAAATGACAACATTGTTAAAAAAAATATATATATATATAATTTAGAATGTTATTACAATAAAAGAAATAAAACTAAAATAAATCAGGATTGTTACTGCCAATCTTTCAGCCTATTTTAAGGTCATCATCAAGGCCTATATTAATTTCACGTTATGAAAAACAATTGTTAAATTAATAATACATATATGTTTTTCTTATGGTGATCTTTAAATAGGTCGACAGCTTGAAAGTAACGACTGAATTTGCTTTTTTCTTCAAGACCATACCTTGATCTATCGTGTTCATGAGTAGAAAAATGGTCGATACTTTAACATTGAAAACTAAAATAATTCTAAAAATAGTTCTACTTTGGTCTTACAATGAAGAGAAAAACGCAGCATAAGAACTAGGAATGCTTAGAAGGTTAGATTCAACTAAGAACATGCAATCTTTTTTTCGCATAAAATATAATTGTGGTAATTCAGTATTTACAATATTTTGATTTTCTGTAACTTTTTGTCCTGCAACTTTGAAGCTGAGCATTCATGCTTCCCCGATTTGTAAGAAAATTCTGAAAACCCAGAACTATTATCATTATAGGTCGTACTTTTCTTCCTATTGCCTGTTATCAAAGTGCAACGAGAAGATCCAATGCCCATAACACTTTGCCCCAAAGTAATTGAATTTGAAAACTGACTTCATTACCATTATTGATGGCAGTTTCCTTTTTGTTAGTTGTTAACAAATTTAGAATGTTTGTCCACGTGATGTAAAAGTCATTTTTACAGATATTTCATACACCGATGCTTTAAAGCTCGGCACAGAACTAAGATATGACATTTTTCGTGAATGGTGACAGTACGTTCCCGCCAGTTCAAAAGACACCTAGTGCTGCCTAGCAGCTAAGAGTCCACCTACAGTTGTGTCATTTTTCCTGTAGACTCACACACGAATAGTTTAAAAAAAAACTAAATAATCCGGTTTTTATAATTTTTCGACACACTTTTGTTGTGGGTGTGCGATATCGGATAGCCCTGCTAATAAATTACGCTTACTCCAAAATTCGTACACTCTGCATCAGGTAACTCGATATTCCTCGGGGTAATTGGGGATATGTCCCACATCCCTGCTAATAAATTACATACACTCAGTCATTCACATTACCCCAGTGTTATCGACATTCATCGGGGTAATTAGGAATATTCCCTCAATTCACGCTAATAAATAACTTTTTTCAATTAATTAATTTTTATGTAAGGTATTGGTTGGGATAAAAAAAAGTCAGCGGGATTCGAACTCACGACCTTCGGCTAGATAGAGCCGCTGCTCTACCACTTGATCTATCGTGACTTCGATCCACTCGGACACTAACTTCCCATCTCAGCGCCACCTTTCGAATTTTCAAATGTCGAGTAATCTATTCGATTCTCGGCGACAAATGAAATGGCCACAGAGAGCTTTAGTGAAGATATACTTTATTTTTCTTAGAGTTCGTGGTCCGATTGACCAAATAACTTTTTTCAATTAATTAATCTTTATGTAAGGTATTGGTTGAGATAAAAAAAGTCAGTGTCACGACCGCCATGAATCGAATAGATTACACGACATTTGAAAAATGGTAAAAAGGAGAGAAAATTCGAATATTTGGTCAATCGGACCACGAACTCTAATGGATTTAATAAGAGAATAAACTGATAAATTAAATTCACAGTCATTCACACTACCCCAGGCCCGTTATTCATCGAGGTAATTTGAAATAGTCCTACTAATAAATTACTCGCATACACCAAAATCCATCCACCAGATTATTATGAGTTATTATTTCCCAAGCCTCACTAAATAAAACACGATAGCCCGGTGTTAGCATTCACACGACCCCAAAGTATTCCTTGGAGTAATTTGGGTTAGCCCTGATAGAGACTTTAAGGTTAGAAAAGAGGTTAAGGGGTTAGAGAGAGGTTAAGGTTAGAGCTGCTACAGATTAATTAGCGAGGGCAGCTGAAATCATAAGAGCAATAACACAGGTCACTCGAAAATCTCACAACTATCGAGTATACCTCAGAGTACTCGATATTCTACGGGATAACTGGGAATAGCCCTCCTAATAAATTACGTGCATACACCAAAATTCATTCACACTACACCAGATTGTTTTTATTATTTACCAAACCTTTTTTCCGCTATCTCTGTTTCTCTATCTGCCATTTTCTGTCTGTTGTGTGTCACTTTCTCAATGTTATCTCTCTCCTTTCGCACACACTCGTTCGTTTTTTCTTTGTTTTTCTCTCTGTTTCTTTGGTCTTTCTCTATCTATCTCTATAGCCGGATTTTGTGAAGATCTTCTACAGAAATGATCCTGTAGAAGTATGATCTTAACATCCCTAATTGATTGACCATCTGACTGACCCCCTGATTAACCATCTCTATAGTTGTCTGTCTCTCAATCTTCTATTTCTCGGTGTGTCTTTAATTCTCTCAGTACTCAACATCATTTGCCATATGCTTTTAAGAATTAAAATCTCAGCCAAAGTTTCCAACTGCTATCGAACCGAATCCTTTCATCTGAAACATTCTGCACAAACGCTCTTTTCTATATGTCCAATCGTACTCTTCGGCCATGATCTCAACATCCCTTATGTTTCCCACGCCATTAAACCGAGCTACCATTCTCTTAGTATACCAATTCCTCTACCACACTTTTCTATATTTCACAATGCCGACTAAACGTCCAAGTGATCTTAGCTTGAGTAGTGCTGACAATTGTTTAACTTAGGTTTACCTATATTGGTGTGTCATTATTGAGTAACTCCTTTGCTCAGTACTTGTCACTTATTCTTTATCAACATTATATTTGCTTTTCAATTAATTAAGGTTTTTAGTTGAGATAAAAAAGTAAGTGTCACGAACGGGATTCGAACCCACGACCTTCGACTAGATACGCCGCTACTCTACCACTTGAGCTATCGTGACCTTGATCTACTCGGGCACTAACTTCCCATCTCAACCACACCTTATGAGTTTTCTCTTCTTTTTGCCATTTTTCAAAATGTGGGGTTGAAATGGGAAGTTAGTGTCCGAGTGGATCGAAGTCACTATAGCTCAAGTGGTAGAGTAGCGGTATATCTAACCGAAGGTCGTGGGTTCGAATCCCGCTCGTGACACTGACTTTTTATCTCAACTAAAAGCATTAATTAACTGAAAGGAATTAATTGGTCAAGCGGACCACGAAAACTAGTGAATTGTATTTGTTTGTTGTAGTTAGTGTTTAGTATTCATGATTAATTATAGTAGTATTTTGGGAGATTTAAGAGATGAAATTAGTTGTAATTAAAACACCCCATGTATTTGAACCAGTCGTCAACCGAATACGTACATTACAATTATGCGACCTTAAGCCACACTTTTTAGAATAGATTTACGTTCATTTTAATTTATTACGACCAATCAAATTATCGAAGCGATTCATGGCCTTCTAATTATATAAGCCGTAAAAACGCTTTCCCTTTATAAATCGGATTGTTTTTGCGATCGTCGGGGTTCGGAGAGAAGGAGGAGCAAAGATGGGCGCAGAACATTTGGTTGGTTTCAACCGGATATATATTGGGTTTTGACTCCGCCTCTTTTCTCACGCCTCTCCTCCCTTTAATCCCTGTTAAGCAGTCGTGATTTAAGCATGGAACGCGAAGTGAACAACAATCCTGATGTATCACCGGGAAAAAATCCGTTTTCAATCGAAACACTCCTGCTCAAGAAGGAAGATAAGGTACGGTATCCTGGGGAAAACCGCAATATGGCACCATGGCACATACCGGCGCCGACTATAATACCAGGTAATTTATTTTTTTTAATATAAAGCTTTTTTAAATAAAATATTAAACGTTCTTTCAGGTTTGATTCACGATGAAATTTCTTGTTCAGTAATGATCCTTCTTGATCGGATAATTTGTTCCTAAGTCATACGTTTCAAGTTTTGAATGGTGGGACACAAAATTTCTAAAATTGTAATTTAAACAAACCAATCTTAGATGTGTTAAATGCAAACAGAAATACCAAATAGGTAAAGAATAAAAAATAATAATGGGATATTTGGCTTCCGAAGATGGGGATGTTATTTATACAAAATAGTTTTAAAAGAAGAAAATGATTGATTAGAAAAATATAACAACCATAAAGATATACAAATAGTGTTAGATAGTATCGTCACTTTGTAGTTTTCTATATCGTATGTCAAAATATATTGAAATTATTTGTCATTTTAAGGATTTTCTGATTAACTTCAAAATCGTCCTGATAACAACAAAAAAGAGAATATTTTGTTCAGGACGTTTCAAGTCCCAAAATGTTATTTACTAAATCTTTACAAATAATAGATAATTATTAGCGAATTATCTGTATAAACAGGTGCCCCTCCATAGTGTATACTGTTTAAAGGGCAACTTTAAATTTTTTAAATTTAAAATATATTGTGAGATTTAACAGTAAATAAAAATGATAAAGTAATTAACTTTAAAAGAGGTTTGAATTAAATGGATAAGTCCAAAATATGTTAGATTAATTCCATTATAATTGCTGATCAGTTTTCAACATTATAATTTTATATTAAAAGATGATCAAGTATGAAGTATCAAGTATCATTCTTAATATATATTTTATTGCAATGCTTTTTTAATTTTGATTTGCTGTAAACAACCTTAAAGGTGGCAAAAAGCGAATTTCACAATATAAATATGAAAAGCTTTATGTATCCAATAAAATTATATAAAATATCATGAATCATGAAGGTTCATGGATCTTTGGAAGAAAGTTGAATTATCTAGTTTTATTTATTTGGGTACTTGGTTAGTTCGTTGTACCTGAAAAGTCAGAAAATCATAAAAAATTAATGCTAATTTCTCTTTTCCTTTTTTATTCAGAAATCGTGAGATGCGGTGTGGTGTGATGTAGGCTTCAGAAAAACATTTTCTTTATCGTGCCAACGTTCGATCTTGGTTGAGATCATGTTCAGGGCTCAAAGTGTATGTCTTCTATGTAATTGTGCCATTTTTGCGTGTCGTGTTGAGAGTGCTAAACACTTTGAGCCCTGAAGATGATCTCAATAAAGATCGAAACGTTGGCATGATAAAGAAAATGTTTTTCTGAAACCTACATCACACAGACCGCATCTCACGATTACTAAATAATTAACGATTAACGGTCACTAATCGCCACACATACGTATGATTTACGATGTTTATTACCAATGGCAAAAATAATTTTTTAACTCTTCTTTGTACAATTAATTTACAATTAATAAGATAAAAATTACATATTAAATGATAAAGAAAAACAATTAATTAGTTCTATTTATTAAGGCTTTCAAATAAATATTACTTTCTTTTAAAAATGCCAGATTTGCCGTACAATTAACAATATATTTGGCCATTCTCATAAGTTATAATTATTGCCAACTAGTATTTAATTATAATTTAATAAACTTCTAGGGTGCATAAATTGAAGATTTAATCATACGAATTGTCTTAAATTATTGTCCTTTTTTTTTTTAATTACTTACGATTTATATATTCCTTTTTGTCACAATAATAAACTATCGTTCTTAGTCATAAAGCTGTTCACCTCATATTTTACTGTAACCAACGCTCCACACACACACACACACACACACACACACACACACAAAATCACGTTCAGACGCCTCGTCGATTACAATCACTGAACCAAGAGCAAAGAGTCAATATTCTACAGGATTTTCTTGCGGTGACATCGCCATTAACCATTCTTATCTTTAAAAAATCATAAGAGTCATATAGATCTTATAATAAGCAATTCATCAATGGTTGCACTTATTAAGAAATGAGATACTAGTGAAGAAAAGATTAATTAAAACCATGTCTTATTTATGGGGGCTCAGTATAGAGTAAAATCATGTATCAATATGCCGCAGAAATGCCCCTCAAACTTAGATAATAAATTAAATAGTACCTACGATTTACAATTAACCAGATGCAAATATATTTGAAATCAGTTCTGATCTTCGTACTTTTTCAAAAAAAACTTCATAAAGATCACAAGACAAACGGCTTATGACAGTTCTATTTCGAAATACTAACAAACAAATAGACGAGCAAGAAAAATCTGTTTTATGATGGAATAAAGACTTAACGATTCTCCAGAAATTTGTTAGAGAGGTACATAGAGATAGACAGATATACAGAAATAGAGATAGATAGATAGATAGATAGATAGAGAGAGAGAGAGAGAGAGAGAGAGAGATCGAGAGAGAAAGAGAGAGAAAAAGAGAGAGAGAGAGTGGGAGAGAGAAAAGAGAAACAGAGAGGAAAAAAGAGAAACAAACGATTTCTGACTCCAAATTTTATAACAAGTGAATAGACGACCAAGACAAAATCTGTTAGAAAACTTAGACGTCACCATACAAAAATACATGACGAGGATAAAAGAAGTGTAAATAAATACAAATTTTTAAAGTAGACATTAGTAGACCCGAAAAAACATGTTGTACTCAACAAATACTTACAAATTTACTTCATTTATTGGAATACTACAATATACAATGCTTCTGTTGGAAAGTCAACCATGATAATGATTATATAACTATTGATATATCTATTTCTAATGATGGCCATAATCAACGGTGAGACTTAGAAGTAAATACTCAATTATTCTTTCACCAATATTGAAAACCTACTTTATAGAATACAATTGAGGGAGATATAAATTTTTTATGATTCTTTTTTATTTTTTCAAATATTTGTATTATTTTAGAGTAGGACGATATTTGAGTTCTTCATTTCAGTTTTGGATGTTTAAACGATGCTGTATTTATTGCCATTTGGATGTTTTCAGCAGATAAAGAGGCAGATAGATAGATTTGATATATATATATATTGGGTTGTCCGGAAAATAATGCAGGATTTTAAGTTTTCATTTAAAAAAATCTATATAAAATATTCTGTTTACGTTTACAGGATTACTCATTTGTATGAATGTCAACACTTATTAATCCTCTTCCAAATGATATTGTTTGTTTNAAGAAGAAGAAGAGAAACAGAGAGAAAAGTAAGAAAAAACGAAAGAGTGTGTGGGAGAGGGGAGAGAGAGAGAGAGAGCGAGAGAGAGAGAGAGAGAGAGAGTGAGAGAGCGAGAGAGAAAGAGAGAGAGAGAGAGAGTGAGAGTGAGTGATTGAGGGGATTTGTAAGGTGTGAGAGAAAGAGGTGTGTGAGGTGTGACAGTTTGAGAGAAAAAGTTAAAAATTTAATTAAAATAAAATCTAAGAAAGCGGACATGATGATTTATTTTTACCTTTCAATCCATTGAACGTACACAATGAACTTGTTCAATGAAAAAAGGCGAAACAGAACTTTTGCACAAACAATAGGACAATTTTACTTTTACATTTCTATTAAAAAGTCGTTACGAACTGTTTTACTTCAGTATATATTACATTAAGATAATTGTTTGCTTGTATTATTTCTTTTCTCCTAGCGGAGCGTCACACCACAGCAATAAACTAACATAATTATATGCTTTACACCGTCGATACAGAAGAAATGTATCGAATGAAACAACTCAAATTTACTTGGCCGTCTAATTAGGTTTTTACGGCCTTTGGCCACAGCCATTCACAGTTGGTGTTAATGATCAAAGCCATACCGTTCATTGATAAAGCCAATCATTCACTCGTCCTCGGAGGATAAAACCAGGGGATTAACTCTGGATAAAAATAACCGCCGACACCAAACTATGACGGTTGATCGGCTCTGTTCCACAACAAATACATAACTCTCAACCGTTCATCCTGGGTATTTTTTAATAATTGTATGGGTTAGTGTACCACACGAAAAATCAATCGACAACATATTAAAAGTCTTCTCAATTACTAGTGCTTACTATAATAATAGTAATTAAATTCTGAAGGGCAGAAAACTATGCAGTAAAGCAATTTAAATTGTTCGTTAAGGGTCTGGTTTTAATCGTGTATGCTGATCCAAGTTAGTCTTCTATCAAATCCTAAATAATTAAATTCGTCGTATTGAGGAATAGGTTCATTGTAAAAGTAGCTAGGGCAAGTTTCACGGCGGAATGTATGAGTGACATGTGACTTTGAGGTGTTAAACATTGAATAACCGCACCATTTTTCAATAATTGACATGTGGCTTTGTCATAGCGAAGCTTGTGTAGACGAGGGTTAATTTGTTAATATAGCGGTGTCATCTGCGTATGTAGCGGTAAATATATTCTCGAGTGCATGACAGAGGTAAAAATTGTGTGGTGATTAGTGACCGTTAATCGATAATTATTCAGAAATCGTGTGATGCGGTCTGGTGTGATGTAGGTTCAGAGGGCACTCTTAACACGACACGCAAGAATGGCACAACTACACAGTAGACAAACACTTTGAGCCCTGAAGATGATCTCAATAAAGATCGAAACGTTGGCACGATAAAGAAAATGTTTTTCTGAACCTACATCACACCAGACCGCATCTCACGATTTCTGAATATATACGTATAATCCCTGTTTTACTATGAAAAATCAATCCTTAAGATATTGTAGAATCAAATAATAGGCATTGGGTAAAAATAGTGACAAATTAAATTTAAAAAAATCATGTTACTTATACTGATAAATTTAAATTTAAAATTAACTTATAGAATGGTGATAATTTATACTAATGTAAAAATGAAATGGTTTCTTTTCTTATGAGACAATATTTTATCATACTAGCCTCCCAATTTGGAAATCCTAATCATTAACTTTACCTACGACACGATTTTACAAACCTCAGTTTAGAAAATCTCTTTTCTGATACACT